TGAGTTATTGCCGGGAAAAGAGGATCTAAGATAGAGACGACCATTTGTCTGCTTATTTCATCGAAGCCCAGAGCCTTAGACTTGATTGCTAAAATAAACTTCTTGATTTCATCCTGATCGACAGGAGAGAACATAAATGCTGCAATGTGAGGAGATTGCATTGATGCAATAGCATTTAAAGTGTTAGTTCGGACTAAAGGATTCATTGCTTTGAAGGAAGGAAGAATGTTGATTAATCTCATCGAGAGATATCGAAAGACCACAGTCCAGCGGGAATGGCCTGCCAATACCCACAGATCTGAGGAATTTCCACACTTCGGTAGGAGATAAATCATTTATACAGTTATGAAAATATTGGCGTTTAGCAGTACGTTCCATCTGATTACACCTATTCCTGACAGATTTAAAGATTGACCAGTTTTCTTCAGATCGTTCCCTCTTGAATTTAAGAAAGGCTCGTTTCCGTCTTACCATTGCCATTCTTACGCCCTCAGTCATCCAAGGGGCGGGAGGACGCTTCAATCTGACGTGTTTCCTGCGCCCTCTTTTCCCAAAAGAGGGTCGCTTTACGATACGGCATGTGAAGCTTTCAACAGCTGGTTGCCAGTCCCCAAAGGCAGTTTTTAGAGGGTATCACTTAGGTTCCCCCTTGTAGGTAGTGAGTCCCTCATAACCACGATGGAATGCATTTTCTGCCTCCCTTCGGGGTAGCCCTTTTCCAATTGCTTCGGGCGCAAAAAAAAAAAAAAATCAATCTGACGTTATGGACAGGAGCATGAGCATCAAACAACCTGAGAACTTTATCATTAATAAAAGAGTAGGTTCTGCTACCAAACAAGTTAAATTGAGATTTCGAGCGTCACTCATTAGCTTATCGTAGTTTATTTTAGAGAAATTGCGTACAGGCAGTAAGGGACAAGAGCGATTTGGGGGCGCAAAAAACCCAAAGCAGGCAACTGTCCGCGTGACACAACATGCTCAGGAGAAGCAGCAAGAATAAGATCAATTAAGGAGTCATCGGTATCGACATTGTGATGAATAGCCCCTAGTAGGAGAAAGGTAAGATTGACTGACTTCATGATTGATTGAAGTTTTTGAGAACGAAGAGAAATCAACAAATCGGTATTAAAATCGCCCATGATTATACAGTGTGTGTACTCAGAACAATCTATCTTAATTGTATTAATTGAAAAAGAACAGTATATATATGTTATGTTCTCACATACATAAGTCGAGAGATGAGGCTCACTAATTATATCGAATGGACTTATTAATAATAATCTATATAGTGTCTGTAATATTGTATAACTGATTCCATTAAGCTCAGGTTTATTTGCGTGTTATTAAGACATATGCCTATAACTATTTATATAAAAAAAATTATGTTGCGGTATGTCCGCGGCAATCTTCTGGATGGATAAAGAGTATAGCAAGGATCTAGGCTATATTGTACCAGAATAAGTGAGATATTTTTGAACAAAAAAAAAAAAGAATAATTGATAATAAAGAGGGTCTCAAATCTAAATAATGCAACATTAATAGATACTACCGCTAGTATGCTAATGAACCGTGGTTAGCACTCGCTGTAAGTTTCACAGTACGCGAGCAACCCGGGTTCGATCTCCGCCGGCACCAACGAAATTGTTAATTGCAATTTTAAGTGCTGATTTACTACGTGCTCGGTGGTGATGGAAAACATCGTGAGGAAACCTGCATGTCTATGAAATAAAAACAAAATATATCTCCAAGACATGTGAAGTTCGCCAACACGCATTGGGGCAGCGCGGCGGACATTTCCTTGCCTTAAAACCCTCTCAGGAATGAGAGAAGGCTTGTGCCCAGCAATGAGACGTATATAGGCTACAACTTTACTTTACTGCTAGTACGAGTTAATAAATAAAAAATTAATATACAAATACTTGGATACCTGACTTATCTTCCGCTTCTTGTTTTCAACACATATTAAACTGTACACAGTGAATAGGGTGAATTCCAGCATTTTTCCGTTTATTTATTTTTATAATCCGGTCGTGTAAAGCACGCTTTATGGGCGCTGTCCCGAATGACGATATTATTTTGGGAACCCTCGTCTCACATGAATGTAACTATTTACATAAAAGTCTGGGTTGTATCTTAATTCACGACCTTAGCCACACTTTACACAGTTTTCGAACTTTTTGAAAATATTTTACGCTGTGGACCTTTTGTAGTGGTTATATTATATACTCTATGTTTTATATATTGCGTTAAAAAGGTGCATTATAATCTTTTTTAAAGCCTATATATATTTATATATATATATATATATATACACATATATATATATATATATATATATATATATATATATATATAATATACTACCCCCTATCCTTGAATAACTATTGTAAGAGACGACAGAGGGAAACAAATCAATATATGGGCACAGCGTCTTCCTTATAACAACTAAAAATAAAAGCTGCTGTTTCCTATCCGCTTTTAAATATTCCTCCTATGATTATATCCATGGGAGAGGTCTTCGTTCAGTACTGGACTTTTGGTAGACTATAACTAAAGTTTTACAACTAAAAAAGTTACTATAATAATGAATATATGTGCTTTAAAACTGTGATTCTCAATTGTTACAGGAAGCCGCGGCAGAGAAGACGGCACATGTCTCCGAAGAGCGAGCGCCCCTGAGTTCAGCCTGCCAGCTGCGGGGCACGCTCAGCTCGTGTCACATGTAGGCTGTACTTATTTTTAAATTTTCTTAAAATCATACATTTAAAATGTAAGTTATAATATTTCAATATACAGAATAGAGTAGGTATAGTATAAGGTTATGAGGAGAGAACATTTTTTTTACATTAACTCTAAATGTTAAACTCAACTGCACGTAGTGCAACCTGTTGATCGACTGATGGCAAGAAATCTATACAAAACCCTTAGCTTATTATTAAAAACTGGTAGTAGCGAGCCCATCTTAGAGCAGGAGAGGCATCGGTTGGCCACCGACCTACGACGCCGGGCAAACCGGCGTGCATCGGTAGTATGTGAAAATATTTCATTAAATACTGGATAACTTGCGTTCTTTTTATATGCTCTTAACTTCAATCAGCAGGTGACGTGCGAGTAGTGTGTAATTTGTGGAATATTGTCAAGTTTGCGATAGACAAGGTGGGAAAATGTTTATTTATCAAGGCTCAGCTATTCCTCAGTTCTATCCATTCCGATTATAACATCAAAGTTGGATGTTAAAATCTTCATTAAACGTTCTATATTATGCAATCGTGAGTGAATATATCATACTGTATCCTAATTTTGTTATGCATTCAATTGTACTTCGATCGGGTACTTGGTACAGTTCTTTTACCAGAGAATAGGAAACAGTACAAATGCATATTAAATGGTCCAAATGTCACAACACCATTTTAGAATGAAATAACTTTTTTATTTCTTAATAATTTACACTCATACTTTCGTATTTAAAAACACTTAACAGAAATAAATTTTATTTACTTTTGAAATCTACATCCTTTAAATAACCTACCAATTTGCTCTTCACACTGACGCGTTCTTTCCAAGGCGTGATTTATCACCCGTCGAAATGTTTCTTGACTTATCCCTGCAATAACATTCACGTATGTTAGCCTTCCATATTCAATGGTTCTAAGATTGTTATTTTTTCAAACATCTCCACAGAAAGAAATCTGGAGCAGTTAAGTCAGGCGAGCGTAGTGGCCAGTTAAGGCTCATCACCCATAATGAGATATGGTATGAAATTAACGTATTGCCTTGCCAATTCCTCACTTTAGTTCTTGCACTAGCTGTATTTTATACAGCTTAGACATGCAAAGTCCGTTGAATCTTCTGGTGCAAGGTTCGGGATATTCCAATTGCTGGGGACATTAAAGGCTCTTCTACACGTACACGCTGAATGTTGTCCTTTGGCCTTCCTGAAGTTGGCCTCCCCTCCCCGTGGTAAATTACTCACACAGAAACCATTGAAATAAATTAAGTGTAGTTTGTTTAAATGGTGGTCTTCTGACACCAAAATGACGAGTATAGGCTCTTAGCGTTTACACAATTGACAGTTTTTTTTTATAGGAGAGGGGGAAAACTAGTATGTGGCTCACCTTATGGTAAGTGACTACCGCCACCCATGAACATCTGCAACACCTGGGGAATTGCAGATGCGTTTCCGCCCTTTTAAAAGGCTAGGCTCTTTGTCGTATTGGTCCGGAAAAATCGCTGGTGGTAATCGATTCCACAAGGAAGTTGTGCGAGGGAAAAAACTTCTTCTAAATCGCACAGTGGTGGACCGCCAATCATACATATGATATGGATGGTATCGCGAGTTTTTTTGTTATTTGCTATAAAGGATTCGAATATTTTAACACGTTGCTCAGTCGTGAATTTCTCCAAAATTCCAACGATCATGTTTTAATAATTTCAAACCGAAAAAAATAATTGTGAAATGTTACATAAATTTTATATGGTGTTGTGACTTTTAGGCCACCTTGTAATTTTCAGTGTATTCTAGGTGGTATGACACCAGGTGTTAGTACTGCTTTTCTACCTAAGAGTTAATTTGAGTAAGAAGGTACGAACCTTTTACCTATATCTACCGCCAAATAGCTGTTGCTTGCATTACTGTGTTCCGGTCTGAATAGTAAAGAGAGTCAGAATAATTACAAATTTAGAGACATTCAACTTAGTTCTCAAAATTGACAACGTATCTGTAGTTTCCTTAGACTTCAGTAGTCACTGAATGCGATCAGGTGCACTGTTAGTCAATATAGTGTTGTAAAATAAAATATAAAATATCAATTATTTTTAAATCTATCTTGAGCTATTAAACAAATGCGGTTTAAAGACACATTTTTACTTTGATCAAACCCAACTAGCCATAAAAACTACTGCAATTTATGGCCCAAGTATATAACTATGTATGTACTTGTATATATTTTATATATGATCCTCATAATGTAACTAATACCACAGAACATAGGCGCGGCGACATGGTGTGTGGGCGGCACGTGTGCTGCACGGCGCTGCTGCTGGCCGCTGCCGCCTGGTGCGCCGCGGGGCCCGGCCCGCCCGCGTTGCACTTCACCCGGGACCTCTATAACGTCACCATCCCCGAAAACTCGCCGCCGCGTACCTACGCCGACTCGCCGCCCGCCACTGAACCGCTTGGCGTGCACCTGCCTGTACAAGACGCACGAATCCGCTTTCGCATTCGCCATGGCGACCGCGACAAATTCTTCAAAGCCGAGGACCACACCGTTGGAGATTTCTGCTTTCTATTTATTCGCACGCGCGCAGGCCACTCCGATGTCCTTAACCGCGAACGTCGCGACTCCTACCGCTTAGACGTGCGTGCTACTGCACAGATGCCCGACGGTACACAGCTCGAGGCCGATACGGTTGTTGTAGTTGAAGTTACGGATGAAAATGACCTTAGTCCGCTATTTTATCCGACAGAGTACGAAGCGCTCGTACCGGAGGATACAACACTTCACTCAAGTATTGCGCGCGTCACCGCCGAGGATGCTGATATTGGTATCAACGGAGAAATTTACTACAGTCTCGCTGAACCGACTGACCGCTTTGCGGTACATCCAACGAGTGGGATAGTGACAGTGACGCGCGCACTTGTGGCAGCAGAAAACCCTCGTCATGAGATAACAATACTAGCACGAGACCGCGCGTCTTTACTAATGCGTGGTAAAGAAGCTCCGGCTGCGCGCGCTACTTTAATAGTACGCGTAGCGCGCGTAAATTTGCATGCTCCAGAGCTACGTGTCCGGCGTCTACCTGAACTTGTTGAGAATTCTACTGCTGAGATCTACGCCATAATAGAAGTAACGGACCAAGATTCCGGAGAACACGGGCGCATCGCCAGCCTCGAAATTGTTGACGGCGACCCCGATGGACATTTCCGTGTTCGGCCCTCTACACAACTAGGAGAGTATGATATAATAGTACATGCGTTGCTTGACCGTGAGACGGCTCCTCACGGCTATAACCTTACCTTGCGGGCATCTGACGCTGGACAACCACCGCGGTCTTCATATCTCACCTTGCCTGTTACGCTCATTGATGCCAATGATAACGCTCCTGTCTTTAGTCGTGAAATCTATGAAGACAACATTCCAGAAACCGTGCCGCCAAATACACCCGTTATAAGACTCAAAGTAAGCGATCGCGACGAGGGTCGCAATGCACGTGTCTACATTGAGATAGTCGGTGGCAATGAAGGTGGAGAATTTGTCGTCAATCCAGATACCGGCGTGCTTTATACAGCGGTTCCCCTTGACGCGGAAGAAAAATCGCTTTATACACTTACAGTTTCAGCCATTGACCAAGGCAACGCTGGAACTCGTAAACAGTCTTCAGCTAAAGTTAAAATAGCTATTGTAGACGCTAATGACAACAATCCCGTTTTTGATAAAGAAGATATGGAAGTTACAGTATTAGAGAATGGACCCAGCGGCGTGGTTGTAGCCCGTGTCTCGGCAAAAGATGCCGATTCCGGTGAAAATGCTTACATTTCTTATAGCATCGTTAATTTACAACCAGTTCCGTTCGAGATTGATCATTTTTCGGGTGCCGTACGGACAACCAAGATATTGGATTACGAGAGTATGAGACGAGAATATGTTTTAAGGATACGTGCTAGTGATTGGGGATTACCTTATCGGCGTCAAGCCGAAATGCGACTCACTGTACGCCTTCAAGACATCAATGACAATAGACCACAATTTGAACGAGTCGATTGCGTTGGCTACCTGCCTAGACGACTAGCAATAGGACATGAGATTGTCACTCTCTCAGCTATCGATTTTGATTCCGGCGATGTCGTGTCGTACCGCTTAATAGGAGGTAATGAAGACAACTGTTTTTCACTCGATTCAAGCACTGGCGTATTAAGCCTTTCCTGTGACCTGGCTGACGTGCGAACAGAGACTAGAGTGCTAAATGTTACTGCGACTGATGGTACGCACTTCGCTGATTCTGCTTCTTTGACACTTCACTTAGTAGGTGGCAGCGGAGGTGATAGCAGTGCGCTCGAATGTCACGACACCGGTGTGGCGCAACGTCTAATTGAGTTGCTAGCCGCAGCAGAACGAAGCAACGCCCCCATAGATTTTGCCGAAGATTTTCCGCTGGCACCTTCTCGATATGGAGAAAATCTGCATGTACCTGAATTCATCGACTTTCCCATTGAAGTTAAAGTAAACGAGTCCGTAGCCTTGGGTACATCGTTGGTGCGATTGCATGCTCGTGATCGTGACCTAGGCTATAATGGTCTCTTAGTGTACGCTATTTCAGGCGGAGACGCTGATTCTGCCTTCCATATTGACCCGGACACTGGTGAACTTAAGGTAATTGGATATTTGGACCGTGAAAGAGAAAGTGAATACTATTTAAACGTGACTGTCTATGATTTAGGAGTACCTCAGCGCTCTAGCTCACGACTACTTCCAGTGACTGTACTAGACGTGAACGATAACCCTCCACGTTTCGAGAAAACCCTAGCGAGTTTTCGTGTCACAGAAAATGCCATAAATGGTACTGCGATATTTCGAGCAAATGCGACGGATCGCGATGCGGGTGACTTTTCCCATATTACTTATAGTTTAAGTGGTGCTGGCGAGGGTGAGTTCTGTGTGGAGCGTGAAACGGGTGTTTTAATGGTGTGCAATGCCCTGGACCGCGAGCGACAGGCGCTGTATGAGCTCACGATCCGCGCTGTGGATGGAGGTGGTTTGCGCTCCGAGGCACTGGTGCGCGTTGCAGTAGACGACGTAAATGACAACGTACCGCGCTTCGCCCTCTCTTCATATAGTGCTCGCGTACGCGAAGACGTGCCTATAGGAACACCAGTGGCAGTTCTTGAAGCATTCGATCCTGATCTTGGCGCCGGCGGAGTAGTCACTTACTCGCTGCCCGATCAGTCTCCCGACGACATAATTTTCACAGTGGACAGTACCTCGGGTACTATTCGTACTGCAAAACTGCTCGACTACGAGGAAAAACAGGTTTGAATTTATTAAAATATATCTTGTTTATTTAGAAAATAGTTAGAAAGTCCACTAAATGTTTTGTTCTTCACATAGGTAGGCTTCCACAAGATGTGGAATCATCACCAAGCAAATAATAAGTTGTTGATGTAATATGTACTACGTACTAGAACATACACCGCGAACGAGATATGTGATGCAGTATAGGGTACGTGATAAAAGTCACAGAGTATCCTGTTATGGCACATACTAAGAAAATTTGTGCTCATGGGCTCTAACGCGTGTTACAAACAACCAAGTCTCGGCGTTTTTTTAGTACATTTTATTTTATAAAAGAGTGTGAAAATGAGCATGCGGCTTGCCTGAAGGTGTCAACCGCCGCCCATGGACAACTGCAACACCAGGGCAATAGCAGGTGCATTGGCGGCCTTTTTTAAAGGAAGGCTCGTTTCTTGAAGGTTACTAAGTCATATCGGTCCAGAGAAATTGCAGGTGGTAAACAATTTCACAAAAAAGTCATGTGAGGAAGAAACATCCTAGTAAATCACATAGTAGTGGACCGCCAAGCATCCAAAAAATGTAGATAGGAACGTGAGTTTTGTCGCGATGTGCGTTGGTGTAATTTAGAAGTACTTATTATTTTAACAACCCTCACCGGATCATTAGGTTTTAGTACGAATGGGTTAGTGATCGCGGTAATAACACGCTCTCATAGAATACCAGCGTAAATTAACAGTTTACTGCTCCTGTGTTTCGTATGGTGAGTGTAGAGAACGGAGACCATTTTTAGTGGAAGTAAGGCATTCTATCTCAGACCTCAGGGGTAAGAACGCATCTGCATTTTGATACTTAATCGAGGATAGATAGAAGATGCCTATGGGCCTCAGCATACACTTACAATCAGGAGGACTGCGTGTACGTTTGTAACCCTTATTTTATAAAAAAAATATCTCGCGTGTGCAGGTGTATGGTTTGACGGTGCGCGCGACGGATGGGGGGCGACCAGCGCTGTGGGGCGAGGCTACACTGGTGGTGGAGGTGGGCGATGTGGATGAGAACCGGCATTCGCCTCAGTTTGAAGCTCGAGGTGCACTGGCGTTGGCGGTGCGGGAAGACGCTGCACCGGGAGCAACCGCCGGCTTCCTGCGAGCAACTGACGCAGACCCACCTGGTCGCGATTCGCGCCTCTCCTACTACGTGCTTGACGGATCTGGCATGCCGCACTTCTCCGTGGATGACACCGGTTTGTGGGCTCACGCAAACACGCACACCTTCAATGCGAAGCACATGTGTTGATTAGTCAAAGTCACGTTACCCGCTCACAGTCTTATATGGCTTATGGACTGCCCCGTTTGTCTTGTGGTCTTGGACCAAAATATCAGTTAGTGGGTTTTACTGTCAAGAAACTTTTAGTTGCAGTAGTTTGTAGTTGACAGTGTTTCACCCTCGTGCCTCGGAAAACAGGTGCAGCTGTTGGCCCTGCTCCTGATCTCTCTCTAGTCGTCTCGAATTGCCATACAATTTGACTATACGAATGACAGAATAGGGAGTGCCCCTGTGCTTGTGCATAAGAGTGCACTCGGGCACTATAATTCTGTCTTGCACAGATGACTAGTGTCTGTTAAGACAGGGCATCACAACCACAATTCGGTCTAGAGAAAATTACTTTTACTGCTCTTAACCGTTGAGAAAACATTAATATTAAAAGTAAACACTAATAAATGAAACTAACTATTTATTACATCTTGTAATACGTATTACTTTCGTCCATTGAAAAAAGTTTAGTTGTCCATAAGTCGATGGTAAAAATAAATGTCTCGAGCATATCTCGAAGACGACACTTATCTTGTCGGTCGGGTCATTGAAGAAATTCGCATCTAACGCTGGTTATACAATTTATTTTAATTATTCCTAAAAGTGCGACAACATCTGACATTAGTCTTTTGTTTCAGAGAACACGTTGTTTGGTAGCAAAACAATAATAATAAATCGTACGATATACTTTGTTTAAAACGAAAGCTTGTTATTTAACATCTTGCGCTAGTCTTACCCAACAAAACTGACACATAGACTGAAATATGTAAGTAACTGCTGCTGAAATTATGTCAAGAATATGTTTTTTCACATAATTTTACCACTTAAGATCACAAAACGTCATACATAATTTCAATTTACAAAATCTTTCACACAATAACACCATTTGGTTTATTGATATACATATAATATGTATGTTAAAAATGTGAGTGCTCTCGAATATTGCGCTTGAACACATTGTACACGTGCACAGGGCTGGTGCGCACGTTAACGCCGTTGGACCGCGAGACGACGCCGCACTACTGGCTCACTGTGTGCGCGGAAGACCAAGGCCTCGTACCGCGACACGCCTGTATACAGGTAATTACACAGCAGTCATGCGTTGTTACATCGACACAAATTCAAAGGTTATTTATTCACAGCATACCGCTACTACGTGAATGTGTATAAGAAAAGGGTGATTAGAAACAAACAATTTTCGGTTTGGTAGAGCTCTATAAAGCGAAAAGTTTCTTCATTGGTAATTGTTACTGCTATTTTGTAGACACTAGTTACAATGCATAGATATAAAATTTCAATCAGGCGCGTGCGACTATTGTGAGAGCTCGTAGAAAATAGCGAGCGCGAGCGTAGTCAAATTGATACAAGGGGAGTACTAAAGTCTACATGTTGGCCAAGTTTGAAAGAGTGAACTGACATGCGGACACGGCTTGCCAAATGCAGGCGAGCGTCTTTGATTTGTGCAGAAAAACCGACACTTTTACGAAGTGAGACGAGTCATGACGAGCGATCTCAAGTGGCGGCAAGGCACGCCAAACGCTGTGGACAAATGGGCTGTCTATACGTTGGTACTCACCTTCGCTCGGCCAACATGTATAGCCGCGGTAATGCGTATATTTTTATTATTATTTTACATCAATTTTTATATGTTCTTTTATTTAAATATTATCTGTGAAAACTTCTAATTGGCCTTCTTTCTCTATCTATTTATGTACTACCTGTCCCCCGCGATTTCGCTTACGTGGGATTTACTAGGATTTTATGGGTTTTTATTTTATTTTGCGCGGTAAAAGTATTCCAAGTTACTTTTTATAACATTAGCTATCTGCCAGTAAAAGTACCGTCAAAATCGGTTCAGTCGTTTCGGAGATTAGCCTGAACAAACAGACAGACAGATAAAAATTTTAAAAATTGCTTTTTTGTTATTAGTAGGTACCGTATATAATTTCATACGCATTTAGTAATAAGCTGTTATTTTAACATTAGACACTTCCATTTCATTTCTTTGTATAGATTACTTGATGTTTTTTTGACTTCCTCGTTAGTGTAGTGGCCATAAAGAGTTGTTACTGATCATGAAATCCCGGGTTCGAATCCCGTAATTCTAAATATCAGCCCAGAGACAGGAAGATGGCGGTATTTCAACTACGTGTTTTGAAAAGCGCTAAAAGCCGTTGGTGCTGCGCCTCATCTCTCTCTGGTCATGTCGTTGTACCGCCTCATTGAACTATGAGAGTGAGAGAATAAAGTGTGCACCTGTACTTGCGCAAACACTCAGGAACTATAATCCTGTTTTGCGCAGATGACTAGATTCCCTTTAACCTGGCCATCGTGACCGAAATTAGGTTTGGAGGACATTATGCATTATACTCTTGATGTTGTAGTTGTAAGCTTTCAAAAACATTTTTTTTGTCATTAAAAGCAAAACGTATTTTTTAAAAGCTTTTATTTAAATTGCAATGTAACTATGTTTGTTCGGGTGGAATATTGCAACTCAATTTTGAAACAGATATCTTCAATCGATTGAGCTGTAATTTTGTATACACGTTAAGTTTGGATGACAATGCATTGTTAGCTGTGTGACGTCATTTTACAAATGAAGCGTACAGGGGCAAAACAAGGAATGTCGGTAAAACAGGTTTTTGTGTAATTGACATTTTAATGTTTGAAAGTTTATAACTTTGTCTTACATATTAATTCTTTCAAAACTACTAAAAGGAACTTTAGTTTACCTTACAGAGATCAGCTGTGGATACAAATAATCTATTGCCAAATATTAACAAATGTGTATAAAAAATAAAAGTAATTAACTTTTATAAAGTACTAAAACATGGAATGTCCTATATAGCCCATACAGGGAATATCCAAATCTAGTACTATGTATGGGTAATACCTTCAAAATAGGCTTGTGCTTCAACAGAACAAAACCTTTTTAAGTCCATAAGGTCTTTGTGCTTGTCTGCACTAGTTGGCAAATAATCTTGGTAGGCAAATCCAGACAATTCAAATTCATTGCTACATTCCGGTTGATTCGCTCTTCTCTTATTCAGTATGGGTGACTTCTCCCTTAAACCATTATAGTTCCCTCGATGAAGAATGAACCTTGGATGTTCTCTCACACTCATTGTTTCTCTTTGGGCCTGGATTGTAAAAAGAGTACTTTTTCATCTACTGATTCTGAAAAAAATCTGTAAATTTCCTTATAATTTCACCCTTACCGACTTTAATAACTTCAGAGGAGTTGGGTCTTTGGCGACTTATTTTTAGGACTGTTTAGGGCTTCCATGTGAGTTTTTAAATTAATCAGGCCATATTCTTGTCGAATTCTAAATATTAATGTCCTCTAATGGGGTATGTTTTAATGGAGTCCAAAATTTTCATTACATGGACCACAAAATGAATGAACACAGTATAGTTCTTGTTTTGTCCTCCTGCAGTCACAAAATATTTCTAAGTGCTTCCCACGATGATCTAAATGGTTTTTTTTAAATAGTGAAATAAAGTTGTCAATTTTTTATTCATCAAATACTACCCTATTAAATACATGTGCAAAAAAAAAACATCGATAATGGCCAACATAGATGTTTTGTGTAGGATAAACATCGAACGTTGATGTCATCATCGATATTTCTACAATATCGAGCATCCTTAACCTGACATTGACAGTTGGACATTCCATGTTACGTTTCGTTTCACTAGGGAAATTCCCACTTTTACACATGTACAGGGTTTTGAAATATTGAATATATGAAGGACTTTGATTGTTTTTATGCTTTTTACATAATGCTATATAGAAATACGCGCGAAAACCTAAGTGTTGCTATACTTAATTAATATTTGAAGTTCTTGTGACATTCCTTGTTTTGCCCCTGTACCCTTCAAATATTAATTGCACAAAGACAAACATCCAGATCCACAACAATTATAAGTAGGCTATAAAGTTACTTGTTTCGTGAGGCATTCGAACCCGTAGTCGTCAGCACCGCTACACGGGAGCCGTCGTAATAAAATGTTAATTATTAAGCTACGTCCTCAAACAATATCTTCTGATTTGATTTTTTGTTGACAATTCTGCGAATGTTTAATGTGAATTTAATTTGGCAATGAATAAGGTTTACATCGAAGTGGAGGACGTGAACGACCTGGCGCCGTGGCCGGAGCGCGCGGCGTACAGCGCGCGCGTGGTGGAGCACTGCGGCGCCGGCACGCACGTGGCCACCGTGCGCGCCGCGGACGGCGACGCCTCGCCCACGCCCACGCGCCTGCGCTACGCCATCGTGGCCGGCAACCCCGACGGCCTGTTCGCGATCCACGAGGACACCGGTACCCTAACCTCTGACGTCGTTAACTTATGTGATTCGGGGAGCTAAACTAATTTCACGGATTTTATTGCGATTAATATTTACTTTTATAATTCCAGTTGTTTCAGGAACTTTACAGCTACCATATAGTCCCCACGTGACCACCACCCGTGAAACGAAAAAGCAACACTAAAAAGTGACAAGCTTATACATCTATTTATATGTTTGTCACTTTAAAAATAATATATTAATTTTCGTCCGATCTACACAGAATGAGCTTACTGTGTCTTGAACATACATTTACAGTGATATGCATAGGCTTAGTGTTAATTTTATTGATTACAGGGTCCTAAACAGGTTTTATAGTATCCAGCCTCGTTTTCTATTGAATTTTTACGTGGTAGAGCCACGCTGCAGCTATTTTATGGTTGTAGCATGAGAAGGTAGGCTCGATTTGGGTGGGTGGTGTTTGGTATGGTGAGTAGAGAGAACTCCGGTAGAGACATTTGTTTCTGGAAAAAAGGCATTCCATCTTAGTCCTTATGGGTGACAACGCATCTGCATTTTGATTCCTAAACGAAGATGGATGTAGATTTCTATGAGTCACAGCATCCACTTGTGGTGGACTTTGTGAGCATTTGTCATCCTTATTCTATATAAAAAAGTCAGGATGAACCTTTTGAATATGTATTTAAAATGTTCTTGATGTTATTATGTGTGTGCAGGTGAGATCGTGACGACGGGGCGCACTCTAGACCGCGAGACGGCGGCAACGCACGCGCTGGAAGTGTCCGCGTCGGACGGCGAGCTGGCTTCCAACGTCCGCGTGCGCGTCGCGCTCGCAGACCTCAACGACCACGCGCCCACCTTCACGCAACGTTTCTACGACTTCCGCGTGCCAGTGCGCGACCACGAGGTACTATACCACTCCAATTATCCGTTTTAATTCTAACAATGAGGGCGACCTTTTCACGAAATTTTCTGCCAGGGTGGCGCCGAAATATTTGACAGATTACATTATGGGAAAATAATTTGATAGAAAATATTAGATAATATTTCTTTCTGTAACATTTTATACCAATTAAATTAAAGTGGATAAATCAAACTGCGAATATTCGTAGAGTTAAAAAAAGCGTCACAAATGTGCATGTGTTTAGGTGTAAAGACTAGAAACCAAAAAACTTTTATTCTAAACGAAACTTTTCACAAAGGGTGACACTGTGTTACAAATAACTTCACCTCAATCCCAACTAGCGACATCTAGTGTGAATAGAATAGAATAGAATAGAATTATTTTTTATTCAATATTGATTATAACATAATTCTTACTGAAAGTCATTTTTTATTTACCACTGGTTCGCAAAATACCTATGTCCTGGGAGGAACCAGCAAGTAACCCAGCAGGACTTTTTTTAAAACATAATTTTTAAATGATTTTTCATAGAACCAGCATGGTGGCGATCACCTTATTCCCAGGGGTTATTTTCATTCCTTGATATTATAATAACCCTTTTTGTACAGTTTTTCTTTAATGAAACTTTTAAACTTGTTTATTGACAAACTTTGAACATTTTCTGGGATTTTGTTGTAAAAGCGTATACATTACCCCATAAATGAATAACTGATTCTGTGAAGTCTAGTAACTGGTATTACAAGCTTATGTTTGTTCCTAGTGTTTAAATTATGTACATTCTTATTCTTATTAAAGCTATTTATGTTTTTATATACATACATTACATTTTCATAAATATATTGCGATGCCAAAGTTAATATGTTTATTTCTTTAAATTTTTGTCTGAGGGACTCTTTACAATTTAGGTTATAAATCGCCCGAACAGCTCTCTTTTGCAAAACAAATATAGCTTCAATATCAGTCGCATTACCCCTTAGCAAAATTCCATAAGATATTACGCTAGTAAAGAAACAAAAATACACTAATGTAGCTGTCTCAACATCTATGAGACTTCTAATCTTTCTTTCAGCATATGCTGCAGAGCTAAGTCTGCTTGCTAATTGAGATATATGGGGGCCCCATTGAAGTTTTGCGTCAATAGTAATACCGAGAAAAACAGTGGTATCCACAAGACTCAACTCCTCCCCATTTAATAGCACATTAGTATTCAAATGGTTCACATTAGGTATTGTAAATTTAAAACACTTTGTCTTATTGCCGTTTAAGCGCATATTGTTGGCGTTAAACCAATGTACTAATTTCGATGGAGCATTATTTACATCTTCATAATTAATTAACTGCAAATAATAATACTATATCGTGATTGTCCCCTACAAGATAAGGTAAGTCATTAATATACATTAAAAACAGGAATGGGCCAAGAATCGAGCCCTGAGGAACGCCCATTGATACTACCGATCCGGAGGAACCTTTACCATTGATCACGACTTTTTGAGTTCTGTTACATAAGTATGAAGTAATAAGTCTAAGCGCCAAATTTTTTACACCGTAATGTTGTAGTTTCCTGATTAATGTTTCATGATGAACACAATCGAAAGCCTTGGAAAGATCACAGAAAATACCTAAGGAATCTTGTGAATTCTTCCAGGCATTAAAAAATATTTCATAAGCTCAACACCGGCGTTAGACGTCAGGCGACTCCTTGTAAAACCAAATTGGTTTTTATGAATTAATTTATTTGTATTGAAAAAAATTAACAATTGATCCAAAATTATTTTTTCAAAAATTTTACTGAGAGTTGGTAGTACAGAAATAGGTCTAAAATTAGCGGGGTCTAATGTACTACCAGATTTGAATTAAGGTATTACTTTACTATACTTCATTAAATCAGGAAACACACCAGAATCGATACAAGTATTAAAAATAAAAGCAAGATGAAGTGCAATTAAATCTATTATGGACGCAATAACTGTCACGGAAATCCCCCACAAATCTGCGGTTTTCTTTACATCAATGGTTTTGAAGTATTTTACAATATCTTGCGGTAATACTTTTTCAAATCTTAATTCTTTTAAACAGGTATTTACATTCTGTTTGAGTAATGACTCGGCGACAGTTGGAGAAGTATTCAATGACTCTGTTGTCAAAATAGTAATATCAGTGAAATATTTCTCAAACACTGCTGCGACTTCTTGATTTGATTTAGTCAATTCATTGTTAATTTTTAATTGATAGTTTGAGTAACGAGGTTTTTCTTTACCGGTTTCGCTGTTAATTGTACTCGTCGTCATTTTAATTTTATTCTTAGCCGGCTTAATTTTATTGCTAATATGTAACGATTTGGCTGTGGAGCAAACTCTTTTAAACATTTTAGAATAATTTTTGACATATTCTTTAAATCATCGGAAGGATTATATGATCTTTCATGGTAAAGGTAATATAACCTTCGTCTGCTTTTATGAATTCCTACTGTCGCCCGCTCATTAAATATCTTGCGACTGTTTCTGGAGAATGTTATAGAAGTAAATGTTTTTTTAAATTCATTTCTTATAAGGGTAAATAATTCTCCATATAAATAGTCTGCATTGTTCTTATAAGAAATCGATGGAAGGTTTTTTAACATATTATTTCTAAATCTCTCCAGGCGTTTTGCATTAACAGGAACAAACACAATTTTCTCAATTACCTGTTTTTTGTGCAAATAAGGTAATGAAACCAGTTGTCCACAGTGATCTGAACTAAGTTTTTGAATTATTGATTTGTTGATTAGTACAACACCTGTAAAAATATTATCAATACAAGTTGCACTACACCCTGCAATACGTGTAGCTTCAAAGAATAAATTATCAAGATTATACGATTTGAACAAAGAGCGAAATTTAAGGTGTAAGGTAATGGGGTATAGGGTTGCCTCCCTCTTTCTTAATAACGGCTCCGTGGCGCAGTAGCTTAACATTGAGTTGCGCCACTGAAGGCCGTACCAAGTTTTTATGGCTTGCAAATAATTATACCGGGCTTGAACGTTTGTCCTCGTGCAATTTATGTATATAAACGGCTTTCACAATAATAAAAAATCTTACAATTCGAGATTTTTCTATTATTTTTCTAAATTCAACATAATATTATATGAAAAAAAAAATCACCCAGTAACATCATGTTATAAATTATATTGGTTTTTAGGACGATGAAGTAGTGAAAGAGGGTGCACAAAGTAGCGCAGAGGGCGAGGGAGAAGGAGAAACTGACAGCGAAGCGGAGGAAGAAGACGAGCGTCTTATCTGGGATGAATGGGATGAGCCGGATCCTAGTGACATCTACATTGCCACGGTTTGAAGCTTTTGTTTTAAGTTTGGGGCACTGTTTGAGTTATGTTATTTTACCTTTGGATTAAGGAGTGAAATAATAATATAATTCTTATCAAATATATTTTGGGCTACTTTGGATATTTACATAAAATTAGTTAAAATTATCTAAATAATACAAGAATGCGCACTACTATGAAGCATATCCATTTTAAACATTATGCGATGAGACGTGTACAAGCAGTTATTTTACTTTGAAAAAGATAGTAGAGCTCATTTTATGTTGAACCTCCTGTTCTTACTTAATTTTGTACTATTGATTTAGTTTAGGTTTAGATAGCACAAAACAAATATTTATAATCAATGTCAACATAAAATAATAAAAATGCATTTTAAATTTTATAATTCAATTTCAAGAACTTTTTTTAACCTGCGCCTGAAATGTCCTAAACGCTATCCACCATATTAGATTCCACCGTGACGTCACTTCAATATTAAACAAGCTGATTCACTATGTATTATTTCGAAATAGTTCAAGTTATCATCACGATTGTTAGCTTTTATTTCGTATTTTAAAAGAAGAGATGACTAATATATACATTTATTGTGGCAAAATTTCGTGCATTTAATCCCAATTTTTGTTCTGCCCAGTTGAATAATTTTAAAACATCAATGGAAGTACCTATTACCAACTTCTGTTTATACAACAACACAATAATCCAGGTCGGAGTGTCTTTTGATAATACATAGCTATGTTTATCTATGACTACAATCACAAGCAATCACTAATTATATCTAAGATATTACAACACTAATCTCTTACGAAAGTAGACTTGCAATATCTATCACCGCATGACGTTTTATTTTGTATAAACGATAGTAAAATTTAAGTCATACATCAAAGTGATCTCCATAGAAAAATAGTCTTAATTTTGTAGAAGATGGTTTGAGGTCTGTTCTTGTCCGTTTTAACCAAGTATTTCTCATATTTGAATCAATAATTGAATCCATGAGTTTCTCGGCGTTCTTATACTCGTAGTTTTGCATTCTGTCACAACACACCAATGATAAAGATAATATAACTCATTAAACGTCCAAAAATATCTTATTCCTTTGCAAAATAGTTTTATTTACGAGCGCGGTGACGTCACGGGCTGAACAGCATGGCAGCTAGCGTTTTTGCGCGAAACTTTAAAACGATAGATTAAAAGTAATTTTTATGGCACTATTGGGTTAAGAAAAAAATACATAAAAACTACAGTGGTTAATTATCTCTAGGATTTATTTAAAGCACTATTTGAAAATGGCTATAACACCCTATTGTCTTGTTTTTAACAAGATGTCTCTCTCTGGGTGTTTACTAACTTACGTATGTACCTAAGATAGATAATTTTTATATAATAGCGATATTTTTTTTATAGAATAAGAGTGAAAAACGAGTATACAGTCCAACTGATGGTGAGCGTTGTCACCTCTGAGAACTGTGATGAAGAGCCTTGTATTCAGTAAAAATAATCTGCAGTTCTCTACACTCAACATAAGAAATACAGCTGAATTAGGCTGCCATATTACATGGGTATTCTGAGAGAACGTGGTCCTTCAACGGTCGAACCGACCCATTTGTGTTGTAACCATGATATAGCTGCAGCATGGCTTTACCATGTCCAAAAGTTGATTTATAATTAGTTTTGAAAGTGTTTGTGATAATAATAGTGCTGGTTACAGGTGGTGGCGTTGGACAACGACGAAGGCGAGAACGGCACGGTGCGATACAGTGCGCGCGCGCGCGGTGCGGCTCGTAGCCTACTGCGGGTGCGCGCGCGCTGCGGACGACTGTACGCCGCGCGCGCGCTCAACCTGCGGCACCGCGCGTACGACCTCACCGTGAGTGTCGCACATTCGTACTCACACGCACATTCATACACATAATAACACAAGTAAACTTAACATAGATGCGCGCGCGCTGCGTATGACTGTACGCCGCACGCTCGCACAACCTGCGGCGCCGCGCGTACGACCTCACCGTGAGTGTCGCACATTCGTACTCACACGCACATTCATACACATAATAACACAAGTAAACTTAACATAGATGCGCGCGCGCTGCGTATGACTGTACGCCGCACGCTCGCACAACCTGCGGCGCCGCGCGTACGACCTCACCGTGAGTGTCGCACATTCGTACTCACACGCACATTCATACACATAATAACACAAGTAAACTTAACATAGATGCGCGCGCGCTGCGTATGACTGTACGCCGCACGCTCGCACAACCTGCGGCGCCGCGCGTACGACCTCACCGTGAGTGTCGCACATTCGTACTCACACGCACATTCATACACATAATAACACAAATAAACTTAACATAGATGCGCGCGCGCTGCGTATGACTGTACGCCACACGCTCGCACAACCTGCGGCGCCGCGCGTACGACCTCACCGTGAGTGTAGCACATTCGTACTCACACGCACATTCATACACATAATAACACAAGTAAACTTAACATAGATGCGCGCGCGCTGCGTATGACTGTACGCCGCACGCTCGCACAACCTGCGGCGCCGTGCGTACGACCTCACCGTGAGTGTCGCACATTCGTACTCACACGCACATTCATACACATAATAACACAAGTAAACTTAACATAGATGCGCGCGCGCTGCGTATGACTGTACGCCGCACGCTCGCACAACCTGCGGCGCCGCGCGTACGACCTCACCGTGAGTGTCGCACACTCGCACCCACACGCACATTCATACACATATACAAATATTCAGATGTTTGTATGGGTAGTATTTATCGGCGTTAAGTTACGAGTCGCGGGAAAAGTTTTCTATGTATACTAACGGACTGGCAATTTAAAAAAAACTGTGTCTCACAGCTGTGGATTACGCCGGCGCCGGTTGGACGGGTAGTTGGCACGGTAAATATGCCAAGCAGTTGTATAAGCTTTTTAAGCAAATATGAAATAAAGTTATATACTTATCTGAAATCAACCTGACAGCATTTTCTAAGTCATATTAAACAATATTAGTTACAGATTGTCTAAAACATCGTTCGTGGTTTACAATACAAGGAACTAGTCTTCTCGATCGCTCGCAATCGACTAAAGCGGTCGGTGCATGTGAGGTTTGATTGCAGATAGTATTTGTCCGCGGGTTGTACTCGTTGTACGAGCGGTTAAGGAAAGTGTCCGTGCGGTGTTGTGCAGGTGCGCGCGTGCGACGGCGGGCGGCCCGCGCGCTGCGCCGTGGCCCGCGTGCGCGTGCGCGGCGCGCCGGCGGGCGGCGGGCGCGCGCCGCGCCTGCCCGCGCCCGCGCCGCTGCAGGCCGCCGAGCTGGACGCGCCCGGCTTCCTGCTGGCGCTGCTGCAGGCCGCCGACCCCGACAACGACGCGCTCTACTACGACATTGTCGGTCAGTATTGTAGAGGCACATTGCAACTATATTACGCTCGTAGCACGAATAGGTCGGCACGACCGAAGAACAACCACGCTTTCTCTCTAATTTGACAGTTTAACTTTGGCCCATAAACACTAACATCTGTCCTCGACCAATAAAGTGAGTGCAATTATACCTTATGAAATATTAGCTTATTGCTGCTGTGTTTTGTATAGTGAGTTTAGAGAACCGGTGACAATTTTTACTGGAAATAAGATCTTTATCCTCAGGGGTAACAAAGCATCTCATTCATCCAGTAAAACGGCCCTCCAGTTCTCTACACTCACCATACGAAACACAACAGCGCACTATTGCTATCTTATATTATTCTGTGAGGGCGTGGTCCGTCACCGGTCGAGCCGACCCATTCGTGCTACAATTATACTACTTATACAGCTACCGCATGGCTCTACCACGTTAAATACCTCAACTGATGTTATATTAAAATTAAATTAAATCTTTCTAATTACAGAATAACATACATTATTTTAATAATCGTTTTTGTTATTTTTCAAAATATAAGACACTATCACTATCAATAACCATGTAGTGCCAGTGTAAGAATATCCACTACCTCATATCATTCCCTGGGTGTCGAAAGAGGCGACAGAGAGAAACAAATCAGGAGATGGGCATCAGCGTCTTCATAATACCTACTAAAATAAACACTGAAGTTATCAACCCGCTTGTTAAGCATGGTTACTATGGCAAATATCCCCTTTACGAGGCAATCTATGGGAGTGGCTCGTGCTTGGCAGTGTATTTTAATAAGGAACTGTAACAATCAATATTAAAGGTACCCTTTGCGTACGTTACGTTAATACGAGACAAGTAACGTAGGATGTTATTGCGCAGACGGCGACCCGGGGCACGACTTCGTGGTGGGGCGCGAGGACGGCAGCCTGGTGGTGGCGCGCCGCCTGCTGTGGGAGCGTCGCTCGCGCTACGCGCTCAACGTCTCCGTCACCGACGGCCGCAACACCGTCTATACCACGGTACGCACTTACTATTATATTTCATAGTTTTACTTTTACATCTTGAAGCTTTTCGTTTATTTTTAGGATTCCGTACCTGAAAAGGAAAAAACGGAACCCTTATAGGATCACTTTGTTGTCCGTCTGTCTGTCTGTCTGTCTGTCTGTCTGTCTGTCTGTCAAGACCCTTTTTCTCAGGAACGCGTGGAGGTATCAAGCTGAAATTCATATCAAATATTCAAGTCTACGATCCCATAGAGCTGTGAAAAAATCAAACTTCTAAGCCAACGCTACCAAAAGGTACAGCCGTTTATGCCGCAAATTTTCGACATTCGCAAGGGAATCAAAACCTACAGGGTACTTCCCGTGAACTCAGAATCTTGAAATTTGGTACGAAGCAACGTTTTATAGCACAGATAAAGGAAAAATTGCGAAAAGTATAAATTTTTAGTTACATTGTATAATAAAAATATTTTTAATAATTTCAAACTTATATACCTACAGATTTGTTCGGAACCCTCGGTGCGCGAGTCCGACTCGCACTTTGCCGGTTATTTTTATTATTAAACTTCATTTAATGTGAGTTAGATTACTTATTCGTCACACCCTTCATCATTACTTTACTTTACGCCTAGCCAAGTGATCACATCCAATGTCCCTTTCCACGTCCGATGTTAGCCTTCTTTATCCAACCCTACTAAAGATATCCAATAACCGATATCAGTTCTTATCACACTATTAATGGGTATTTAGAAATTATCGCTGTTACACAAACTTTATTGTATATGTAAACTCAAAATCAAATTGACATAAAATTGTGTGCAGGTAAATATCTCGGTGATTAATGACGCCAACGAGGGCGGCGTGGAGTTCGAGCAGGAGCAGTACTCCGTGGAGGTGTCGGAGAGCGCGCGGCCGGGCGACGTGTTGTTGCGGCTGCAGGCGCGGGTGCGGGGAGGCGCGGGGGCAGGAAGGATGGGCGAGACGCCGCAGCGGCTGCTGTACGGGCTGCAGGGCGCGCGCGCGCCTGCAGACGCCGCGCTGTTCCACTTGCACGAGCTCACCGGCGCGCTGGAGCTCGCCCGCCCACTCGACAGGTACGCGAACCTTTTTTGACGGCTCCGTGGCGTAGTAGCTTAGCAATGAGTTGTAGCGTTAAGGACTGCTGGCTCAAATACCGCACAGAACAAGTATTTGGGTAGCGTACAAATAATTGTTCCGGGCCTAAATGTTTGTGCTTGTGAAATTTATGTATGTAAACTCCCTAAAATACAGAAGAAAATCTTAGTGTCGAGGAATTTTTTTTAAATAAAATAAAAAAATTAAAGAAGTTCGCCCGTCCTTTCAATATTAATATACACAAACTTGTAACATACTCTTGCACGGCTAACCACAACAATAAGACACTTGTGTCTCTACCGACAAGGAAGCGATTAGCTATCGGCTATTTTCTTGCTTAAGAAACGAACAATAGATATAGAAACACAGACAGAAACTTTTTATTCAATATAGATTATAAATGATACTTATTGAAAGTCACTATTTTGTTTAATTACTAACGGTTCTAAAAAAATCTGTCCTGGGAAGAGCCAGCAAAAAACCCAGCGGGATTTTTTTTTAAATAACAGCTAACGATCATGTATTGTACACGCCCCTAGCTGCTCCAACAAAAGTCGACCATACAGGGGCCCATACAGCTGTAGATTTGACGAACAACTAAGGGTTGGGCCCAACGGCCTGTGGAGACTTATCATTCTACACAATAGATATAAGGCTAGGTAAACAAATAGTACGTACCTGATTCCGAAGCTAAGACTGCCCCAAGGCTCGGTCAGGCGGTAGGTAGGTGTAGGTGCATGTAAGTGGTGTGCAGTAGTGTTTATATATGTGACCTGACCTAACTGAGGTGATCGGGCAGCGTCCTGATCCGATGCTGCCCCACAATGTTGTATCACTCCAGCGGACGTCACCAATTGCCAACTTCTTTCTTCATTTCACTATTTCAGTCTATCAACTTTGTTGTACAATATTTCAATCCATCAAATTTATTGTACATTTAACTAACTTCAAACTAAACTAAATCCCCGTTAATCGTAATCAAAAACGTAACACACGGCACGACTAATGAACGGTGGATCAAAGTTCACTTCCGTTTTCACTCAGCAACAAATTATTTCTAGAACCGAACACGACCTTCTCTAGGGTCACAAAGTTCAGCGTTTTCACCGACAACGGAAAATGTTTCCGAACTATACATGCACTTATATACGCAATCAAAATTAGAATTCGCGGCGGTCTACACGAAAACCAAATATTCAATAGTAAATTAGGCGCGCACAACACTCAAATTCAGAAGTGGATCGCAATAAATGTTAGCTTACAAAACAATTAACCGATCCGCGCCGTCAATCTATTTTTCTAAACTCAACAAACTCCTCGTCGGTGCATAAAAACTTGCTAACAAAACCCGACACTATATAGAGGTTATACGGGACGAGACCACGCCATGCTAGTGACTGCACTACAATGTATCACTTCCGACCCGCCCCGCTAGCAACCAATCCGATCTTGCGCGAACGTCAACTGGTAGGAAATCACTGCGTTTCGCGCCCCCTGGCGTCGATTCTTGAAATTAGCGTTTGGCGCGAACATGTATGTGACACAATTAACAACACAACAAATTAGAAATAGCTTGGTAGCGATCACCTCCTTCTAAGGGGTTATTATCATCCATAAATTTCTTAACATTATAATAACCTTTTTTTGTACGAACTTAGTTTAATAAAGTTTTTGAACTTTTAACAGTTCAAATTTTGTATACTTTCTGTAATTTTGTAGAAAAAACGTATACGTCACCTCAAGAATGAATTACTGACTCGATGAAGTCTGGAGTCGACTAAATAGTACTAGTAGCTTGTGTCTGTTCCTAGTATTTACAGAATGAATATGACTTAATTATTTTGTAAAACTACTTTTATTTTTGTGTACGTACATTACTTTTCATAAATGTATTATGATAGGAGAGGCCAAAGTTACTATATTAATTTCCTTAAATTTTTGTCGCGGTGACTCTTAAAATTACGACTTTAAAATCATAAATTGCTCTTATGGCCCTCTTCTGTATAACAAATATAATTTCAGTGACAGCTGCGTGTCCACATAGCAATATATACCATACGACATTATGCTATGGTAATAACTTAAGTAAACTATTCTAGCTGTTTCAACACTGGCAAGATTTCTAATATTTTTACAGCATCTGCTGCAGAACTAAGTCTGCTTGCTAGTTTTGATATATGGAGGCTCCATTGAAGATTCGCATCTAGTGTGATACCAAGTAAAATGGTGGTATCTACAAGACTCAGTTTCTCCCCATTTAAAATTACATTAGTATTTAATGGTTTGACATTTGGAGTCCTGAATTTCATACATTTCGTTTTAGTGCAATTTAAATGCAAATTATTAACAATAAACCAACAACAAAAAAAGCAAGAAACAGAAATGGGCCCAGAATTGAGTCTTGAGGCACGCCTATTTTTACCATCGACCCGGAAGAGCCCATACTCTAAATGTCAACTTTTTTTGCGTTCTGTTACTTAATATGAAATAATTAATTTAAGAGCGTCACTTCTTACACCGTAGTGTTGAAGTTTGCTGAATTATGTTTCATGGTGAACACAATCAAAGGCCTTGGATAGGTCACAGAATATACCCAAAGCATCCTGTGAAAGTGTGTTAAATATATATTTAATCAGCTCAGCACCGGCATCAGTCGTCGAGCGACCCTTTGTGATACCATATTGATTTATATGAAGTAAATTATTTATATTAAAGAAATTTAACATTTGATCAAGAATATTTTTTTAAAAAACCGTGTTGGTAGTACAGAAATAGATCTGAAATTGGCGGGTCTAATGTACTACCAGATTTAAATAAAGGTATTACTTTACCACGCTTCATTAAATCAGGAAACACACCAGATTCGATACTGTCTATAATATGCACAATTACACGAGATGCTCGATCCCGTGTGATTATGCATTTTATCAGAAACAGCATTTTAACAGAATCAACATGACTTTATGTCAAATTACATAAATGTTCACGACTATGTTGTGCGATTGGGCCACCTCAGCCGCACCTTAACTTACGCTGTCGCTGAGTTTACTAAACTTATTTCTTAATTAAGTAATAATAATTAACTGATAAAATTCAAAAAAGCTTTTACAAAAATTTACTTCGCAAATATCCGCGTTATAAAATAAAATGATGTGTCTTACCTAGTATGAAGAAGCACCTCCCGCCCTCCCTCAATTGCGTGCACTATCCCCGTCACCACTAATCCCAGCACCGCTACTTCCAACACCACTACACTAGGCAAGACACACCACTGACGATAATACGACACGTGTTTCGCCTCTACACGAGGCATCCTCAGGTGATATAGACTCTACGGTGGCTAACCGCTAAGTGAGCGGCGAGCCAAAACAAGTGCCTTTTATACAAACCGATGATGCAACCGCTCTCTACCTAAGAAGCGAGCGATTGCGTCATGCGATAAAACATTTTGGGATTAGTGGTGACGGGGATAGTGCACGCAATTGAGGGAGGGCGGGAGGTGCTTCTTCATACTAGGTAAGACACATCATTTTATTTTATAACGCGGATATTTGCGAAGTAAATTTTTGTAAAAGCTTTTATATAATGGATTTCCGCAAAGTAACGCCTGATTCTATTAATTATGATAAAATTCAATATAATGCTACTGTATACTTAATAAAATTGATATATTTATGATTTACCGTACCGTAGTTATAAAAAAAAATCATCCCGACATGTCAAGTTAGTTTTTTGAATTTTGCAACTTGGAATCGACCCAGATATACAATTGATAAAATTCTTCAAAGTTTCTTCAAAGAAATCAATTCAAAATCCTGTTTTAATTTAAATATTTGAGGGGAGTTGTAGTAAAATTTTCCTTTTAATATTTAATAATAATAGATCTTTCTGAAAGTTATTAATTCTATTATTTCATTTATTCAAAGATAAAAGTAAATAAATAAATATATTAATTTGAAAGCTTAACAATAACGGGATCTTATGAAGTAGACTAGCAGAATTTCCCGCTTTTAAAATGTGCTTGCTAGAAATATAATTGGCATAAAAGAAATAGTACAAAGCTTATTCTTTAATAACCAAAAGTAAAATATATGCAAAAATATATATTCGACATTTACAATGTAAGAAACACGAGCCTTTTCATTATTTTTAATACTGATTTAATCCGTTTCTATTTCATTAGATGATACAATGAATCCCTCGGTTGATTCATCTAGTTTAATGTATAATTTTCAGGCCGTATTTCTTCTTTTTCGTTCAAGATAATGTTCGCTTTCATCATCATCATCATTAATAGATTATCATCTTCTAAAACTATTTACCTTGTTGTTGCGTTTTCGCAACTTTGGCCATGCCAACTCTTGCAAAAGTTAGTAGCATTGATTTTGCAACCCCAAACAACTAAAATTAATTCATAACAGAACATATAATTATTAACGGAATAATAAAGAAAAGTATTATATATTAACCTACATGTACACAATTTTTCAATAAGTTCCTGTGGTGCTGGTTTTGAAGTTGACATAAAGAGGCAGTATCATAAATAATGTCTTTCTTCATTTCCATTCTTCAGGGTTCAAAGTATTGCCCAACCATATTAGAATCTCATAATATACAAGTTTTGGGTGTTCACGCAATGATGATTCTGTTGGTGGTAGAGAAGCTAATACAAAGAATTTAAATGCTAATGCTGTAAATAGATTGTATCTTAAATCACCAATCTTTGAATTATCAACATCACCATGGCCATACAAATGTAATATTATTCATTCTGCAACTTCTTATTATGTGTCAACTGTGCTATTATGTTCGTAAAAAACTGTTATCAATCGCTATAGCTTGGTTTGTTCTTCAACAGAGAGATGATTCTTTGAACTGATTGTTTTAGCTTGGATTCAATCACTACCCATAAGATGGCAAACATTTGTAGCTAACCGGATAACAGAAATACAAATCAGACTGGATAATGATAGATGGAATCATGTAGCTTCAGCAGAGAACCCAGCAGATATTGCTTCTCGTGGAATAGAACCCTCAGAACTGCAAGCCGCTGAACTGTGGTGGAACGGACCTCATTGGATGCGAAACTATAACATACATACTAACAAAATAAAGGTACCTGAAACAACATTAGAAGAAAGAAAACAACATACAAAAGTATTTCACAATTTTTTACGAAATTACAAAAGAATCAATACTAAAAAGATCCTCAAGTTTAAAGAAAATGATACGAGTACTTGCCTATTGCAGACGATTCCTAAACCTAAAAGAAAATAAAGCAAATAGAAATAAAATCTCTACTACCGCGGAGGAAATGAAGACAACTCTCGACGCATGTATTAAAACTACTCAAGACATATCAAATTGTGATGAATATTTTTTAATTAAGTAATAGTTAAAAAAATTACTACTGCTACGCTACGCTACTGGCCGCGCTGCGAGCCGCCGACCGCGACGCGCCCACCGCGCTGTATCTAGTTCACATGCACTAGATACCATGCCAGAACGCAACAACCAATTATGAGTAAAGGGGAATGCCCAATTCTGGCCATGAAACGCCCAACAATTTAAAAACAATTAAAAAAATACATCTTTTTTATGGTAATTAATCGCGGTATTTATGAATCCAAAAAAGATTGCAATATTTTTGCACAAAAAAAAAGTACCGAAAAGATAAAAATGAAATTAGGTAAATCCGGAAGTCATTAGTTTGTGGATAAAATAAAACGTGTTGCCAATCACAAATCTCGTTAAAAATGTCGATTTTGTTTTTTCAATCGATTCTTTATGGTGTCGTTATTATAATGGTGATATTATGTTTCGATAATTATTATGATGTTATTATAATTAAACAAGTGAAGTGCTAGTTGATTTACCGTGAACTCTTTATACCATATCAAAAATGCTACTGCACATTTTAACTGTTATTCTTATCTATAAAACAAAATATATTTTAAAAGACGCGCAGATCTTAAAGCGAACAAAGACTATTCTTTCTTATGAAATTATAAATCGAATAAAAAAATCGCTATTTATTTATCGATTTTATGTCTGTTAATTGACAACATCGAATCTGACAGCTAGGCCCATGTCATAATTATCAAAACTAAATAGTCACAAGTCGAATTCCTTTGCATTAGTGTTATTTTGTTTGTTTTCTCGCAGATTTGTAATCTAAACAACGAATAAGCTTTCTAAATGGACTCCGATAATTCTTCTCACCCTATTGACCACGGCCTGAAAATGAATCCCGCTGCCACTTCTGCACGAACTTGGACTCGATATCCACTGTTAACGATGACCCCAGCTTTCACGCTGGCCAGAGTTCTTCCCAGCTCTCAGTAACTCATTCAAGAGGACATTTACGGTGTATCAATTGTGGTTTAAATGTCACGAAAATACGAAGTTATTTGTTGTTAAAAAGTGTTCTTGTGAAAATGAAAAACCTTTATATCTTAAAAATCCGGACTTTTTTTAAACCAATTCCTTAACCATTTCATTTTCTTAATTGCATATTATCATTTCCATATGCTTTTATATGTGGGCACTCATGGCCAAAGTGTCTATGAACGGTGGGCATTCCCCTTTCCGAGTGTAAGAGTAACCCCTGGAAGAGCTTTTGAGTGTTGTGGTGTAGATTTTGCCGGGCCTATACAGATGAGTGTCAAAGGGTAGGAGACAAAAACCTTACAAAGGATACATCTCATTGTTTGTATGTATGAAAACACTTAGAAGCTGTAAGTGACCTTACCACACCTGGATTCATTGCAGAATTTCGACGATTTGTGTCACGTAGGGGTCATTACGCTGAAATGTGGAGTGACAGCGGTTTGAACTTTGTTGGTGCTACAAATGAGCTTACAAGAATGCTTAATCAAAGCATGACGAACGCATTAAAAGAGATAGCAGAAATGCTTGAAAGTGATGGAACCTCATGGAACATTATTCCCCCAAAATCACCGAATTTTCGAGGTCTATGGGAATCTGGCGTGAAATTTGTTAAAGCATATTTGATGAAAACAACGCGATACTTACCTTCGAAGAATTTTCTACGGTCCTTTGACGGATCGAAGCGGTTCTGAACTCAGATCCGATTAACAGTCTCAGCGATGATTCGAACGATACCTCTCCATTAACTCCAAGTCACTTCTTAGTAGGACAACCTTTAATAGAGATACCAGAACCTAACAATATTACTGATACCGTAAGTCCTCTCCAACGCCGGAAACTGACAAAACGCATGATAAAAATCTTTTGTACTAGATGGTACAAAGAATATTTGAATACCTTACAACAAAAACACAAATGGCACACAAAGATGGATGCACTTCGCTGCAGCGAAATAGTTACTAGGACGAATAACACAGCTTCATCCTGGACCTGATGATCAAGTCAGGGTAGTACGCTTGAAGTGTAGAGGATCGACCCTGAAGCGCCCTGTATCTAAGCTAATGTTGTTGCCATAAAGAAGAACGGAGGACTTGGCGGGCGAGATGTCGGCGAGATTTTACCTTCGACGAACAGATTTCGCTGATTGTCACTTAACTTATGCAATACAAAGCGGTTTTTCTGTACCATTATATTGCTGTTTTTTTTTAAGTATAGTCAGTTCTTTATTACAGAATCATACCTTAAAATAGTGTTTAATTAAGTCGGTAATTAAACAAAACACGACATCATATCATAAATGCAAAGTTGAGTGTCAAAATTTTGATTTCAGACCCTATTTGAATGGACATTACATATTATACAGACTTTAAGTTTCTATTTTCATCACTGCTACAAGTACTTAAATATTCTCTTATTAACAAATTTTAGCAGTATACCTTCCTGCTCATAGATCACATGCATAATCTCCATACATAATAGGTAACACTGTTTATTGTATTCTGTGACATAGAATACAATAAACATCATCCTTCGCAGGCTACATCTTATAGATATATATGTTTGTCTCTTATTAGTGTCGCTTTTTCGTTTCACCGAGTTTCAAATCACAACTATTTAAGACAAGTTGTATCTTCAAAAAATGCGTATCAATGGCGGTTTCTTGCAGGGAAAGCGCGGCGCTGCACGAGTTGACGGTGTGGGCACGCGATCAGGCGCCGCGCGCATCGCGTGCATTCGCGCGTGTGTCCGTGAGCGTGCGCGGCGCCGATGAGCACGCGCCCGCCTGGCCGCGCCGCCTGGTGGAGGCGCGCGTGCCCCGCGCCGCCGCGCCCGGCACGCTGCTGGCCGCGCTGCGCGCCGCCGACCGCGACGCGCCCGCCGCGCTGCCGCGCTACTCGCTCGCGCACGACGCCGGCTTGTTCGCCGTGGACGCGCTGGGCGACGTGCGGCTGGCGCGCGCTCTGCCCGCCGTGGGCCCGCGCGACTACACGCTGCAGGTGCGCGCGCAGGGCCCGCCGCCCGCGGAGCGCACCGCCACACTACCGCTGCACGTGCTCGTCGTCGAGCCTGACGACGCGCCACCCAGGTGAGTCCCGCCTCTCTTTGCGTGGATATAATGTCTCCCAGACTGATTATAGTACAGGAGTGTGTGCTTGATGATGGAGTTAAAATTAGATTATAGATTAGAATTACCTCACTCTGTTGGTCAAATTAACAGTGGTAGATCCACGAGGCAGCTTTTGCTGTCGCACGGATGGGCAGGCTTGGTTAGTGCAGGTGGCTGAAGGTCCAATTCCCCCGCCATCCTTTTAACATAGTTGCGGCGTTAAATGAGACACTATCCCAGAAGGCTACCAGCACCACTGGTGTCGGCGAATCCCTGGCTAAGCATCCACGCCCAAGCTACCCTCCTCTTCATGAGCGTGGGTGCTCAGGCTGCCCTGCGTATTCTGAGCAGAGGCGAAATTTCGCTCACGAATGATATTGTTCGGGGCAAATTGAGCAATAAAACAAAAGCCACCCCTAAAACACTATCTGTGAATTTCTGCAACATCAAAGGACTTTATTCAAACCTTAACGACGTCCACTACCGTTTGTCCACTATCATCTGTTTCTAACAGAGATACAGATATCCTCTCCAGCTGATACTTTGTATGTCTCCTACCCGGGGTACTTGTGCCTCGGGCTGCGGTTTACGTATACGTCAGAGAGGACATCGGTTTTCGGCGCCTAAGCAGTCGTGAAGGTACGGACCTTCATAGGACTGCGTGTGGACAGCGTCTCACATCTACGGGTGCCTCTATAGGCCCCAAAGCGGTAATGCCGACACATACTGACTCATCGACCACGTCCAAATGGCTGCAGACTTCGTGCTACAACACTCGTACATACAACGGTATAAGTACTCGGTGACTTTAACGCCCACTACGCTGAATGGCTTGGCTTCCGTTCAACCAATCATACTGTTAGATCTGTTTATGACTTTGTTAGATCTGTGGATGTGGTGCTTCAAAGAATGGTACTTTTTATTCCATCATCTGTGGTACTTATCGGTAGCAGAACTCAACCATGGTTTGGTCACTCCTACAAAATTGCTTCAAGTCATAAGCAGGAGTGCTACCGTGCCAGGGCTGACGCATTGACGTCTCGGGATGTAAATACCAGCGCTCTCAAAAAGAAGTAAATATCGGCCTCCAGGTCCTTCAAAATTGTCATTGCCACGGCAAAGTCAGAGGACAATAGCAGAAATGACGAGAAACTAGTTCGACTTGCTTACTGCACTGGGCGAGAGACCAGAATGCACGAGATCCTGTGCATTCTTGTCTCTCGCCCAGGCTGTCAAAGGGAACTTCTGTCGGGAGGACGACTCACTGCTGCTAGCACTGTGTGAGTGCTCCATACATAATGTATAGCTTACGCAGCGCTCGGTGCGCAAAATACTCCTCTCTCTTGACGTGAACAAGTCGAGTGGGCCTGATGGCATCCCTCATATTGCGCTGAAGGCGTGTGTTCTGGAGTTGGCACCGGTTTCAACTCGTCTTCTCCGATACTTTTACTTCCTAGGCGTAGTTCTAAACTCATGGCAGACATAGGATAGTGGTGCACGCTATTCATAAAAGAGGCGACCGCACAGATCCGTTCAACTATAACTCTATCGCAATCACCTCATTGCTCTCCAATGTAATGGAAACAATCATAAACTGCCAGTTCATGAGGTACTTTAAAGATGACCAGCTGATTAGTAACCGCCTTCTTTAGGGGTCGTTCAGCTCGTGATCTTCTGGCTTACCTAACTCAAAGAAGGGGGGAGGCAATAGAGTCCAAGTGGAGGTATTGGTCTATAGTATAGACATTGCAAAGGCTTTCGATCGAGTTTGGCACAAAGCGCATCTTTAGAAGCTGCCTTTTTATGGGCTTTCCGAGAAATTGTGAAATTGGATCACCACTTTTCTTACAGATCGGAGCATCAAAGTCGTAGTAGACGGTGCAAACTCCATTTATAAGCCTGTTAATGCTGGTGTTCCACAAGGCTGCATGTTATCACCAACTCTGTTTCTCCTGCATATCATTGATATGTTGCAAACCGGTAACATTCATAACTATGCAGACTACAGCACTGGTAATACTTTATACATGGCTGTGCTAATATTTCTCGGGAAAATGTCGCCGACTACCGGAGCAAACTTGTGTCTGCTGAGTGTTTTTCGAACAGTCTCGGATTATGGGCGAATAAATCTTGTCCACATCAATCTCCAGAAGACACAACTTTGAGCATTTACCGCCAAAAAGAATCCCTTTGACGTATGTCCTCAGTTTCAAGGCCTTGTTATCTCAGCCAGTATCGGAATCCTCGGTGTCGACATATCGAGTGATGTGCACTTTCGTGATCCACTTCCAACTTTGCAAGGCGCAGGTTCGGCCCCACATGGAATACAGTTCGCATCTCTGGCAAGGAGCTCCCCAGTGCAAGCTTCTTCCACTTACCGCATTCAGCGCAGATCAGTTCGAGTCATCGATAACCCAGTTCTTTCTGATCGGTTTGACTCACTGGCACTGTGAAGAGATGTTGCGTCTCTGCGTATTTTATCGCATCTACCACGGGGAGTGCTCTAAAAAATTGTTTGGACTAATTCCAGCCACTCAATTTCACCATCGCACATGGCGGCAAAACTCGCGATAACATGCATAAGATCTGGATGATTGGCAGTCCACCAGTGTGTGATTTAGAAGAAGTTTTCTTCCTCGAACAGTTTCCTTATGGAATCGATTACTACCAGAATTTTTCAAGGACCGATACGACTTAGGGACCTTCAAGAAAAAAGCCTACTCCTGCAACGCATCTGCAATTCCCCTGATGTTGCAGTAATTTATGGGCGGCGGTGGTCCCTTACCATTAGGTGAGCCGCAAGCTAGTTTGCCCCTTCGGATTATAAAATGAGACAATAATTTGACGATAGATTAAGCGCAGGAACAACGGCTTCACTTGTTTTCTAACGCACGGGTGTAAAACTCTTCTATCTTCCTGACTCTGGGTTGCTATTGAGAATTTCTTGACAGAAAACCCAAAAACTAATTTTCACCGACCCGGGATTTACTCCGAGTCGTATTTATGACCATTAGGCCCACGAGGCTGTCAAAGTAAGACATATAGCGTAGAAATATCATATGTTCGTCAGGTTTGCGAGCGAGGAGGTGGTGTGCGAGGTGTACGAGAACGAGCCGGCGGGCACCGTGGTGGCGACGCTGGAGGCACGCAGTAACACCGCCGTGTGGTACTCGCTGAGTGGTGGCGGCGGCATGTTCCGTTTGAACCCGGCCGCCGGCGTGCTTGCGCTCGCCGCACCCCTCAACTACGAGACCTGCGAGCTCTACAACCTTACCGTCGCCGCACTAAACATGGTCTCAGTTTGCTTCTTATTTTCCTTCGGTTTTATGACTATGATTTTATTCTATGTATATATAATGTAAGGGAGTACGACGAAACGCACATATTTCACAATTACATATTATATGTATTTATTTTGTTAACTCGGCAACGCAACAAGCTCTTATTACACAACACTTTTAAGCACAATACTCATCGATCAGTGCATTACAGGCAGTTGTTTTCTTATCATTTTATCATATGAATTGTCAAATAGCATAGCAACCTTTATTTCATCTGTTAACAAATATGAGAATCATACCCCACATTTTTTGGTCCTTCAGGCCAGATCATTGTTATATTTTTTAGGTATCAAACAATCAATGTAGTAATAATATAATGTGAAAAATATTGCAATACTATAAAATTTCAAAATTTGTAAATAATAACGAACGGAAAGAACCAGAGTAACTAACATAGGCCAAAGGATTGGTAAGATGAAGTGGCAATGAGTCGGCCATATAGCTCGCAGAATCGACAATTGATGGGGAAGAAAGGTTCTCGACTGGCAGCCTCGTTCTGGTAGGCAAAGAGTAGGGTTGCCTACTAGATAAATTGACAACCTGGTAAGACATCCAGAAAGTTGATGGATGCGGGTAGCTCAGGAGTGTGCTACGTGACATTCCATATGGATGGTCTATGTTCAACGATGGTCCTAGATCCATAGTAGTGAACGGCACGTTCCGCGGGCAGGGCGGCGGGCGTGCGGAGGCGCGCGTGACGGTGCACGTGCTGGACCGCAACGAGTTCGCGCCGGCGCTGCTGCGGCGCCAGTACTCCGGGCGCGTGTCGGAGGCGGCGGCGCCGGGCGCGCTGGTTGCGGACGCGGGCGCGGCGCCGGGCACGCCGCTCGTGCTGCTCGCCGCTGACGCCGACTCGCCCGCGCACCGCCAGCGCGCCTACGAGATCCTGCAGCCGGCCGCCGCCGCGCTCTTCCGCGTCGACGACACCACCGGCGCGCTCTCGCTCGCCGCGCCGCTCGACTACGAGCGCGCCGCCGTGCACGAGTTCACTGTCAAGGTTCCGCTTCACTCTTAGCTATTACGAAAAAATAGATCCTCTGTTATCTATTAACAGGTTGTATTCTCAAGGTATAAAGTTATATATAAAAATTCAATAAACCATGAGAAAATCCATTGGTTCCATCACATTCAGAAAATGTAACAAAAGTTAAAAAAAATATTTTTCAGCATTTAGTAAGAAAACCCTCATTACAGAATCTAAAAATTATAATTGTGTTAAGTATTCTGAAAAGTTTATTTAAAGGCTCTGATTGGCGGTCTTCTGGGCTCGCAGTTGATTTGGAACGAAGAGCGAGTCATAACTTGCCCGTTGATAATACCTTTAAAAAAGCTTATATCAAATAAAAACTAATTATCTATAATTTATTATATCTGGCTTCACTGCAATTATTTGGTTTTATATGATAAATTCTAAAGTAAAAAAATAAATGTATGGTTATAAATGTATTATATATATTACCACGTATTATTTCTTGATTTTATAGGTAGTCGACATGGGAAATCCACGTCTGCCGTCAGATAGCGTAGCTAAAGTAAGAGTGGAGGTAACGAACGTGAACGACTGCCCGCCACAATTCTCGCAGGCGACGTACGAAGCCACCGTTCTCCTGCCCACCGTGGCCGGAGTTCGCGTGCTCATGCTGTACGCTAGCGACGCTGACGAACCGAAGAACGCCTCGCTGACATTTGATATTCTAGAGTGCAACCCAGACGGTGCCTTCACTCTGACTTCAAGCGGTGAACTACTCGTATCGTCAGTGGAGGCACTGCGCGCCGAACATCACCTACGTGTGCGCGTCTCGGACGGGCGCTACTCGACTACGGCGCGCGTGTTGGTGCGCTCTCGTGAGCCCGACAACGCCGGTCTGGCTTTCCAGAAGACCGACTACTACGGTTCAGTGCTTGAAAACACCACCAAGCCCGCCACCATAGCCGTACTCAACGTACTCGGCGCTGCACTTAATGAACATGTCGAATTCTCTATACTTAATCCAACTGAAGGTTTTGAGGTTCGTATCATTTTATAATTTTTTCTAGTAAAATTTACACCGTACCTTTGTTATTTATATAGTTTATTGCAAATTGTAGCTTTTAATTAAATTTTTGATATTAAACTACGGTCATTAGCAAACGAGCACGCAGATAAATTGTTAGTAAATGGCACTGTAGTTTTCCATGAACATCTACATCTGCTCTTGATCAATAAAGTGAGTGCTATTTTATATACTTGGTAGAGCCATGATGCAGCTATAGCAAGAATCACTCCAAGGAAAGACAACGCTCTCACAGAATAATAGCATAAAATATCAGCTTAATGCGGTTGTTTTACATGTGGTGGGTGTAGATAATCGGAGATCCGGAAACGGGGCATTCCATCTTATTTCTCAGAGGTGACAAAAAATAAATTGTATTCCTGACATTTAAAATATATTATTTATATGTAATAAGTTTTGCGCTCTATTATTTTAACAACTAAAGAACACAAAATTGCTTAGCCTTGACGTGTCGATAGTAGAACACACCTAATAACGCTTAAATTACATTACTAAGTGAAACTGCGTGGATATTAACTCTGACAGCTACCTGCCCGCGCGATCCACAGCTGTGTGTGTTTTTGTTTAATTATGGACGCTAGTAAGAGCGCTAATACGGGCGACGTGGTGTGGGTGCAGATCGGAGCGACGTCGGGCGCGGTGGTGGGGCGCGGCGCGGCGCTGGACCGCGAGGCGCGCGCCGCCTACACGCTGCTGGTGCGCGCGGCGGCCGGGCCGCGCCAGGCGCGCGCGCGCCTTCACGTGTCCGTGAGCGACGTCAACGACAACTGCCCGCGCTTCGTGGAGCTGCCCTACGTGGCCGCGCTGCCCGCCGGCGCGCCGCCCGCCTCGCCCGTGCTGCGCGTGCGCGCGCTCGACCGCGACCAAGGCGACAACGGCGAGGTCATTATCTATTTACTTACTTTATATCTGGACCGCGAGGCGCGCGCCAGCACGTGTCCGTGAGCGACGTCAACGACAACTGCCCGCGCTTCGTGGAGCTGCCCTACGTGGCCGCGCTGCCCGCCGGCGCGCCGCCCGCCTCGCCCGTGCTGCGCGTGCGCGCGCTCGACCGCGACCAAGGCGACAACGGCGAGGTCATTATCTATTTACTTACTTTATATCTGGACCGCGAGGCGCGCGCCAGCACGTGTCCGTGAGCGACGTCAACGACAACTGCCCGCGCTTCGTGGAGCTGTCCTACGTGGCCGCGCTGCCCGCCGGCGCGCCGCCCGCCTCGCCCGTGCTGCGCGAGCGCGCGCTCGACCGCGACCAAGGCGACAACGGCGAGGTCATTATCTATTTACTTACTTTATATCTGGACCGCGAGGCGCGCGCTGGCACGTGTCCGTGAGCGACGTCAACGACAACTGCCCGCGCTTCGTGGAGCTGCCCTACGTGGCCGCGCTGCCCGCCGGCGCGCCGCCCGCCTCGCCCGTGCTGCGCGAGCGCGCGCTCGACCGCGACCAAGGCGACAACGGCGAGGTCATTATCTATTTACTTACTTTATATCTGGACCGCGAGGCGCGCGCTGGCACGTGTCCGTGAGCGACGTCAACGACAACTGCCCGCGCTTCGTGGAGCTGCCCTACGTGGCCGCGCTGCCCGCCGGCGCGCCGCCCGCCTCGCCCGTGCTGCGCGTGCGCGCGCTCGACCGCGACCAAGGCGACAACGGCGAGGTCATTATCTATTTATTTACTTTATATATGGACCGCGAGGCGCGCGCCGGGACGTGTCCGTGAGCGACGTCAACGACAACTGCCCGCGCAAATTCACTTTTTAGTGGATATGAATAAGCAGAGAGGATAGTTCTTTGAAAAAAATTACGTTCGCTGCATTCAACCCTTACGTATACAAATATTATTAGCACAGTTAAAACTACTACATTACTATAAATCAGTTATTTATATCATAGTTATAGTAGTGTGCTTCACGTGAATTGTATTGTCAATGGTGTATTGGCAATTCTTAATTAGAAATGTTTTAATTTTGTTTAATTAATGATTATTTTCCAGTGCATGAAACATAAATAGAACTTTATTGTAGATTTTAGTTAATATACCGAAAAAGATTTTTCTAAATAATTAAGCTGTCTTTGGTAAATAATTCTATCCATCTTTCTGTTAGAAATGATACACAGTCACGTAAACACAACTCGTATATTCACTCGAATTTAAAACTCAATCGACATACATATGCAGCTAACTAAGTACAACGGCAGTAATACGTTTAATAGCGCGAATATAAATCAAATAACGACATCTGTAGATAAGCAGACTATACTATACACAATATATATATATATATATATATATATATATATATATATATATATATATATTTATATATATATATATATAAACTTTTTACTCATTCCGCCCACCAAGGACTTGTCCTTCAAAAAATTATTTTTTTATTATGAATTTACTAGAGACTAACGATCTGCGCTCGATAGAATTGTACTGCACAAATGTGTGTGCAGGCGTATTCACTTTTCTCTTACCTTCGTAAGTCTGATGGGACGGCAATCCAATAAAACTAGAGAGAAATCAGGCACGGGACCGACTGTATCACGTGCTTACCGAGGCCCAGGGATGAAACAACGCCCAGTCCCTGACTCTGGGCTGCCACTAATAGTTTCTTGACAGAAAAAACCCACACACGTTTGTCGTGAAGCGACAATAAAGAACAAAAAGAATCTAACCTAAGAACAACAAAACAACAAAAATACAACAAAAACAAAAAATATATTTAAGATTCAAAGATATTTACAATTTTATATAACAAAAATGGAGTATGAATATGAGGATGGATGATGCGATTTACAGATTATTTAAAAAAAAGTAATAAAAAAAAAAGAGATTAGTGCCGAAGCTGAGTCTGAAGATCCAAGGTGTGCTCTCAGCGCCTGGAACGAGCACGCACGGCGTAGGTGAGAAGGCGTGGGCGTCTCTAGGCGACGACCTCCGGTGAATGTGGTAATTGCAGGATCCGGCGATTTCAGGACAGACAGGGGCTTGCAGGATCCTCAGCGGCTTCAGACAACACAGAAGCCTGCAGGATCCGGTGACTGCAGGCGGGACAGAGGTTTGCAGGTTCCGGTGACTTCAGGCGGAACAGAGGTTTGCAGGTTCCGGCGACTTCAGGTAGAGCAACGGTTTGTAGGATCCGGCGACTTCAGGTAGAGCAGAGGTTCGTAGAGTCCAGTGGCTTCAGGCAGGACTGAGGCTTGCAGGATCCCGGGGCAGTGCGATCCCGGGATAAGGCCTTTAGGAGATGCTTCCAATTCGAGAACTGAAGCAAGACTGCCTTTCTTCACCGATTGTTCGGCTTTTATACCTTTCTAGATAGAACGGAAAAAATATTTAAATTAAACGCAAATTTTTTGTAAATGGTCAAGAGAAAAGAGTATTTATGTGGAATTATCGAAATAGAAACAACAGACCGGTAGCAAATTTGAATATAATTGCTATGGAGACCAAATAAACAACAATGTCAAAACATGTCAAATTTTGGTTTTAGGCTTGTAATAAGAAAACGGCAAGATTTAAGTGGAAAATGAGATATTATTGATATAGGTAAAAAGGTAGCGCAACTGCCCACACAAAGCCCGAGATTGTAGAGTTACGGAAAACTAACTAAAAGATCGAAAAAAGGTAGACTCCATTGACACCAATTTAAAAGTGCTGATAATGTGAAAATACGAAGTAGAAATGATTTGTTATTGTGTTCTTATGGTTTAAAATCGTTACAGGATCCTATGGAAATAAAGGTGATGTAAAATATCCAGTTTTGAGGTGAATGCAGAAAATCGAAACAGAATGGAAAAATGAATTTAAAATAATGTAAAATGATAAGTAAGTAGCATAACACTACACGTTTTGCATTGCAAACATGTGTATTTACTTGGAAAAATAGATTCTGAAGTCTAACAAATAGTCATAAGCTTCACGTTAATCTTACATTGCAATTAGTGAACTTAAAAATTTTTTGGAGCTATTCTTATTTTTGTTCAAGTGGAACATCTTGAATAATGTTTTTTAATACCTAATTTAATACCCAAGAATTCACAGACAAAGCATTAATTATGCTCTTATTTTTTATTTTTGCACATAAAAATTAGTGGCGAGCATTATCCTTTATCCCTCCCACACACGTCGGTGTATCTCATTAATTAATTTTTATCACTATTCTATTATAAATTTTCGAAGCCATTTTAGCAAATAAGATTTTTGAACTTTTTTTATAATCTACAGGTACGCTATGAAATGAAACGCGGAAACGGCGAACTCTTCCGTGTGGACAGGCGCACCGGCCAGATCACCCTGAAACAAACACTCGAGGCACATAAACAACTCTACACGCTAGTTATTGCTGCTTTCGATGGAGGTGAGGAATTCGTTACGTTATTGTAAATCGAAATGGGTTTCTTATTAAAAAGTAAACGTTTTTTTTTTTTTGTAGTAAAACCGTGAAATCTGAGATTAAACCATGTTCAATAGTTACCGTCACATATGTCTGGAATATCATGTTCGAAGTTGTTTTTAACGTTTTGAAAAAGGAGTTCTATGTATTTAACGAGACGGGTTCTACGTATTTAACATATTGCGCACTAATTTACAGTCAATTCTCCGCAACTCCATTAGTTGACTACGAGCGGGCGAGAAGACGAGTTCTTTGTTTTGTAAACCTCCAACGCTATTTTCGAAAATCTAACACTAATTTTGCTTAATATGACTAAGAAAACGCTGTTTTTATTAATGTGCGCACTTTGTCAAGGTGATTTGAAGTTTATTTCAGTATGTAACTTTGTTTTTTATTCACCAAGAAATAGTAATTAACGTATATTATAATACTATTTTTTGTTTTGTTTTGTACTACTCAGGGTAGAAGACGCTGACAGTTGTAATACAGCTTATACTAGTATGGCCATTAACGCTTACTTCTTTGAAATGTAGCTTTGTAATTTTAAATAGATATAATACATAATTAAAAAAAAGTTAAATGCTAAATGAAATGGAAGCAATTCAATCGTAGTATTGGATCACCAGCTTCCTTGTAGATCGGAGCATCAAGGTCGTTGTAGACGGTGCATGCTCTGACTACAAGCCTATTAACGCTGGTGTTCCACAAGGCTGTGTGCTATCACCAACGCTGTTTCTTCTGCATATCAATGATATGTTGCTAACTGGTAACATTCATTGATATGCGGATGACAGCACTGGTGATGCTCTATACACCGGCCGTGCCAATATTTCTCGGGAAAACGTCGCTGAGTACCGGAACAAACTTGTGTCTGAAGTCGAGTCTTTGCTGAACAAAGTCTCGGATTGGGGGCGACTAAATCTAGTCCAATTTAATCCTCAGAAGACACAAGTTTGCGCGTTTACCGCTAAAAAGAACCCCTTTGTCGTATCTCCTCAGTTTCAAGGCACTCCCCTTCTTGCCTCAGCCAGTATCGGTATCCTCGGAGTCGACATATCGAGTGACGTGCAGTTTCTTGGTCACTTGGAAGGGAAGGCCAAGTTGGCCTCTAAAAAGCTTGGCGTGCTCAGCAGAGCGGGACAGTATTTCATGCCGGCACACCGCCTGCTACTTTACAAGGCGCAAGTTCGGCCTCACATGGAATACTGTTCCCATCTCTGGGCAGGGGCTCCCCAGTGCCAGCTCCTTCCATTTGACTCGAATTGTCAACGACCGAGTACTTTTCGATTGGCTCGATTTACTGGAGCTGCGAAGAGTTGTGCATTGCATACCTTTGCATTTTCTTTCGCACCGTTCTGCTGAGCACGCCAAGCTTTTAAGAGGCCAGTTTGGCCTTGCTGCACACTATTCCATATGTCGACGCCGAGGATTTCGATGATGGCTGAGGCAGCAAGGGGAGTGCCTTGAAACTGAGGAAATATGTTAAAGGGGGCAAACTTGTGTCATCTGGGGATTGAAGTGGACTAGATTTAGTCGCCCCCAAGGTATCACCAATTTAATCCTCAGAAGACACAAGTTTGCGCGTTTACCGCTAAAAAGATCTCCTTTGTCGTATCTCCTCAGTTTCAAGGCACTCCCCTGCTTGCCTCAGCCAGTATCGGTATCCTCGGAGTCGACATATCGAGTGACGTGCAGTTTCGTGGTTTTCAAATTGGCCTCTAAAAAGCTTGGCGTGCTCAGCAGAGCGAGACAGTATTTCATGGCGGCACACCGCCTGCTACTTTACAAGGCGCAAGTTCGGCCTCACATGGAATACTGTTCCCATCTCTGGGCAGGGGCTCCCTAGTGCCAGCTCCTTCCACTTGACCGCATCCAACGCAGAGCGGCTCGAATTGTCGACGACCGAGCCCTTTCCGATCGGCTCGATTCATTGGCACTGCGAAGAGATGTTGCATCCCTTTGCATTTTCTTTCGCATCTACCATGGGGAGTGCTCTGAGGAATTGTTCGGATTAATCCCAGCCGCCAAATTTCACGAAAGCACATCGCGGCAGAACTCCCGATACCATCCACACCATCTGGATGATTGGCGGTCCACCACTGTGCGATTTAGAAGATGTTTTCTTCCTCGCACGACCTCCTTGTGGAATCGATTACCATCAGCGATTTTTCCGGACCAATACGACTTAGGGACCTTCAAGAAAAGAGCGTACTCCTTTTTAAAAGGCCGGCAACGCATCTGCGATTCCCCTGGTGTTGCAGTTGTTCATGGGCGGCGGTAGTCACTTACCATCAGGTGAGCCGCATGCTCGTTTGCCCCCTCTCCTATAAAAAAAAAAGTTTTTTTTTATAGGATAAGGGTGACAAACGAGCACACAGTCCACCTGATGGTAAGTGGTTGCTGCGGCCCATATAGACATCTACATCTATCCTCTGTTACAAATCAAAATGTAGATGCGTTGTCACCAGTGAGGACTAAGATGGAATGCCTCATTTCCAGTAAAAAGGGCCTCCGGCCACCTGCACTCACCGAGCGAAACGCAGAGGAAAACCTCTACTTCACGCTGGTTTTCTGTGAGGTCGTGGTACTACCCCGGTTCGAACCGGCCCATTAGTACGACAGCAAAAGCTGCCGCGTGGCTCTACCACTGTTAAGTTGAAGCTATTTAATCATAAGCTTTGTTATGTGTGCGGGTTTGACACTAAGCATGATTTCGTGGTATTACCCACGAAGCTAGTTTTTAGTGTTCCCTTTAGTATCATATGGACAAATATGCAACAACAAGTACAATAACTATTGGTACAACTGTTTCAACTTACGAGCGTGTGCGGCAGGCACGCCGGCGTGCGGCGCCGAGGCGGCAGTGTCGGTGCGCGTGTGGGGCGGCGGCGCGGCGCCGCGCTGGCCGCAGGCGCACTTCACTCTGCGCGCGCGCGAGGACGCGCCGCCCGGCCGCGCGCTGACGCCGCGCCTGCTCGCCGTCTCGCCGCTCGCGCGCCCGCTCATCTACACGCTGCACGCCGGCGCCGCGGATCTCTTCGAGGTGCACTTCGACACAGGTATACCCCGCGCATGACGTTTCCGTACCCCCCGATCTCCCCCGCTACCGGGCGACCTCGTATTAACGCGTCCATTTTGTCCCGCAGCTCCCGATGGAGAGAATGGCCCATGTGAGTATCGCCACTCGTTGCGTCTCACTTGGAATCACCGCCGATTCATTTCGTTCACTTCGCACGCTCTTCAATTTGATGCTTGTGCATGACATGCAGTGTGTTGTTTTTTAACTGCTATTTCAGCATCAACTCGATCATTTTTGTTCACGCGTTCATGCAACAGTAATCTCGCGAATCATTTCAATAGTGTTGATAAACAGTTTAAATAAATTACTTGATTTATATTTATGAAAAGCGTATTAAATATCCTATTCAATTTCGGGAATTATTGCATATATTTTAAAAATTAAAATTAACTTGAAGTAAATCGAAAATAAATAAATACTTGAATAATTAGTATCACCAACCGACACATATGTGAAGCGGATTCTCACATTGTAATATAAATCATACACATAGAGCTTGAACATTACTTACTTTTATATCACCGCTTTGATGTCCGTTCAGTTTGATGTTGTACGCATGGAGAGAGTTAGAGAGATGATGTTATACGCAGGCGCGGTGGTACTGCGCGGCACGTTGGACTATGAGCGCGCGCGCGAACACGAGCTTGTGTTGCGCGCCACCGACGACGTGACCGGCGCCTTTGCCGATGTGTCCGTTACGGTGCACGTGCTCGACGTCAACGACTGCGCGCCAGAGTTCACGCAAGACGAGTATCGTGCCACCGTTTCCGAGGCTGCGGCCGTCGGAGATCTAGTCCTAACTGTCTTAGCCACCGACAACGACACTGGTGAGTATAATTGCATAGTTCATACTCATACTCATACTCTTGTCCTTAAAAATATTTAGTTAAATTGACTTTAAGCAAATCGCGGTACTGGGACGCACGCCACACCACGATGTAAATTTCGACTGCGCTGATTCGCGGCAAGCTTCCTTCTTTTAGAATAGAATAGAATAGAATAATTTTTTATTCAATATCGATTATTACATAATTCTTATTGAAAGTCATTTTTTATCTACCACTGGTTCGGAAAATACCTCTGTCCTGGGAAGAACCAGCAAGAAACCCAGCGGGACTTTTTTTTTTCAAACAATTTCGTTTATACAATTTTTAAATAATTTTTCATAGAACCAGCATGGTGGCGATCACCTTATTCCCAGGGGTTATTTTCATTCATGTATTCCTTGATATTATAATAACCCTTTTTGTATAGTTTTTCTTTAATAAAACTTTTAAACTTGTATATTGACAATCTTTAAATATGTTCTGGGATTTTGTTGTAAAAGCGTATACATTGCCCCATAAATGAATTACTGATTCTGTGGAGTCTAGTGACTGGTATTACAAGCTTATGTTTGTTCCTAGTGTTTAAAGTATGCACATCCTTTTTCTTATTAAAGCTATTTATGTTTTTATCTACATACATTACATTTTCATAAATATATTGCGATGCCAAAGTTAATATATTTATTTCTTTAAATTTTAATCTGAGGGACTATTTACAATTTAGGTTGTAAATCGCCCGAACGGCTCTCTTTTGCAAAACAAATATAGCTTCAATATCAGTCGTATTACCTCATAGCAAAATTCCATAAGACTTTACGCTATGAAAGTTACTAAAATACACTAATCTAGCTGTCTCAACATCTGTGAGACTTCTAGTCTTTCTTATAGCATATGCTGCAGAACTAATTCTGATTGCTGATTTAGATATATGCGGGCCCAATTGAAGTTTCGCGTCAATAGTAATACCGAGAAAAACAGTGGTATCCACAAGACTCAACTCCTCCCCATTTAATAGCACATTGGTATTCGAATGTTTTACATTAGGTATTGTAAATTTAATACACTTTGGCTTATTGCCGTTCAAGAGCATATTTTTGGCGTTAAACCAATGTACTAATTTCGATAGAGCATTATTTACATCGTCATAATTAATTATCTGCCGTTTGAGTTTGAAAATTAAAGAGGTATCGTCAGCAAATAATACTATATCGTGATTGTCTCCAAGATAAGGTAAGTCATTAATATAGATTAAGAACAGGAATGGGCTAATAATCGAGCCCTGAGGATTGATACTACCGATCCGGAAGAACTTTTACCTCACTGCGATCACGTCTTTTGAGTTCTGTTACTTAAATATGAAGTAATAAGTCTAAACGCCAAATTTTTTACACCGTAATGTTGTAGTTTCCTGATTAATGTCTCATGATGAACACAATCGAAAGCCTTGGAAAGATCACAAAAAATACCTAAGACATCTTATGAATTCTCCCAGGCATTAAAAATATATTTCATAAGCTCAACACCGGCGTCAAACGTCGAGCGACCCCTTGTAAAACCAAATTGGTTTTTATGAAGTAATTGATTTGTATTGAAAAAAATTAACAATTGATCCAAAATTATTTTTTCAAAAATTTTACTGAGAGTTGGTAGTACAGAAATAGGTCTAAAATTAGCGGGGTCCAATTTACTACTAGATTTAAATAAAGGTATAACTTTACTATACTTCATTCCGAAATGGGAAATACTCTTATTATAGACTATTGCTGGTATACACTGTCACTATGGTAACTAATATAAACAACGTATCCAGTGATACATACATTTATTAAACAGTTTCAACGCTATATTATTTTGAGTAGAACTACTCGATAGTGTGCATTTTCTTACTTTTTTTTTATAGGATAAGGGTGACAAACGAGCACACAGTTCACCTGATGGTAAGCAATTGCTGCGGCCCATAGACATCTACATCTATCCTCTATTACAAATCAAAATGCAGATGCGTTGTCACTCGTGAGGACTAAGATGGAATGCCTCGTTTCCAGTAAAAGGGATCTCCGTTTCTCTACACTCACCATACGAAACATAGCAGCGTTCAACTGCTATTTTACGCTAGTATTCTGTGAGAACGTGGTTCTTCTCCGGTCGAGCCGACCCATTCGTGCTACAACTATACTACTTATATAACTGCAGCATGGCTCTACCACGTATATAGGTGAGCGACATCTATCGTAGAGCGGCGGAACCAAACAATACCTTTTTCTATCTATACATAAAATAAAATATTAAATATTAATAAAAGAAGGGGATGAAAATGAAAAAGAAATTGTTAAAATAATTAAAAAGAATACACTATTAAAGTGTGACATGGCAATGTAACACACAGATTATCTTAATATATTAAAAGAAAGGCACCAGCTTCAGGAAACGCTCAATAAGTTTGATCAATGCAGCAAGGAATATGAGGAAGCTCTAAAATACATTGCTGCGTTGCAATCACAATTGAATGAAGCCCAAGAGCAAATCTTATAACTAAACAAAAACTTAGACAACTTAACAGCCTCCAAAACTCAGTGTCTGTTCCGTTGTGTAGAATGTACAACGTCTCAAGAATCCTCAAAATTGTTACAAAAATCATCAACATTGGATTGACAGGTGAAGATTCCTTCATAACAGGAACAGCAGGAAGAATCGCTTGCAGTAACAATAAATTAAAGAAATAAATTTAAATTAATAAATACATTAATAAATTGCAAAAAAGTATAAAAATAAAATAAGTATTAAAACCAAATAAAATAAGTATTAAAAAAGTTATATAAAGAAAACTAGAATAAATTAATAAGGTCAAAATATATTCAATTGAGGTGGATAGCATTAGGAAAAGTTATGAGACTGACATGGAGTATCTTAATTCAAAAATTTCTTAGCTTCATAATGCACTACAAGTTATGACAAATAAATATAAATTAGCTCAAAATGAAATAAAGGAACATATACTGGCCATGGACGAACTGGTGACACTGTGTAAATATAATGAGGAACGTTTTGAGTCATTAGTAAAACATCAGTGTGTTACTTCTGGGACAGTATGTGTTAATGATAGGGATAAAAAGAACCCCTATCCTACTTATAAACTCCATGACAGTTCCAGAACAATAAATAATTTGAATAATTAAAATGTTAGTAAAAACAGTATCGTTGTGTACAGTGATGATATAGGTAAAAACTTAGGTTTAGTACTAAATAACTGTGTATTACTGTACATTGCTTGAAAGATTACAATTGTATATTTAATTTCAGTAATCACCAGGTGGTCAGTTCGTATATATATATATATATATATATATATATATATATATATATATATATATATATATATATATATATATATATAGTTATACCAATTATAATTGGAGGATTTGGAAATTGATTAATTCCTTTAATATTAGGAGCCCCAGATATAGCTTTTCCTCGAATAAATAATATAAGATTTTGATTGCTACCCCCTTCATTAACTTTATTAATTTCTATAAGAATTGTAGAAAATGGAGCAGGAACAGGATGAACAGTTTATCCCCCTTTATCATCTAATATCGCTCATAGAGGTAGTTCAGTTGATTTAGCTATTTTTTCTTTACATTTAGCAGGAATTTCTAGAATATATAGAGATACTATGCCGTGTAGTGGCGGTCAAGAATATCCACTACCCCATATCCTCCCGTGGGTGTCGTAAAAGGCGACAAAGGGAAACAGGCAGGAGATGGGCAGCAGCATATTGTTGATAACAACAAACTAACAATAAAAAAAAACTGCGGTTGCCAACCCGCTCGCCAAGCGTGGCAACTATGGCAAATACCCCCCTATGAATGACAGTAACAAAGAAACGGCCCCCAGTCCCCGGCGGCCCCGCTATTCCTGGCTACGGTGGCGACCATGGTAACGGCGGAGCAGGGGGTGCTAAGAATCTCCGGTGGAGGTTCGGTTGCCACCTTAGACGACTCGACCTGGCAACGTACAACGCACGCACCCTGAGGACTGACGAGAAGATCATGGAGCTGGAAGAAGGGATAGACAAGTTGCGCTGGCATATTATAGGATTATCCGAAGTCCGAAGAGAGGGGGAGGACAAGGTAATCCTCGAATCCGGCAACTTGCTCTATCACCGGGAGGGCGACCATCTGTCCCAAGGAGGTGTCGGATTTATCGTCCACAAGTCTCTCGTTAACAACGTTGTAAAGATCGGGAGTGTGTCGACGAGGGTTGCGTACCTTATACTCAGAATCACCAAACGGTATTCGCTGAAGGTCATACAGGTTTACGCACCAACCTCGGCACACCCCGATGAGGAGGTGGAGGAAATGTATGAGGATATCTCTAGAGCCATGCATTCCTCCAAAACCCAATATACGGTGTTAATGGGAGACTTTAATGCAAAACTAGGCACAAGAGAGAACGGTGAGCTGAAAGTAGGGAAATTTGGAATAGGGCAACGGAACCCAAGGGGCCAGCAGCTGGCCGACTTCATGGAGAAAGAGGGACTCTTTATGATGAACTCTTTCTTCCAGAAGCGGCCCCACAGGAAGTGGACCTGGTCGAGCCCCGACGGTTCGACAAAAAATGAGATTGACTTCATAATGACGACCAGACGACAACTGTTCAGTGATGTCTCCGTGATCGCGAGGGTGAAAACTGGTAGCGATCACCGAATGGTTAGAGGCACACTGAACCTAAACGTTAAGTTGGAGAGGTCTCGTCTAATGAAGTCAACGCTCCGTCCCCCTCGTGCTCTGTTCCAAAGTCCCGAAACCTTTCAGCTCGAGTTACAAAACCGTTTTCAGTGCCTGGAAGACTGCAATGAAGTGGACGATATGAATGACAAGCTCGTGGAAACTGTCCATGCGGTCGGAGCTAAGTTCTGCAAGACCTGCCGCAGAAGAACACAAAAACTCTCCGATCACACTCTTAATCTCATGGCTGTTAGACGGGAGATGAAGCAACAT